CGGTAGAAGAAACCAACAGTTCAGCCCAAGATTGTTTAGAGCAGCTCAACTTTAGGCCCAAACCAATAATACTAGATTGCTCGCACTTAAGGCATCACCTATATAATTTATCTAGTACTTGTTTGGAATAACTTAAAAAGTTGTTGTCGAAGTGAATAATTAATTTTAATTACACATTTTATAAGATTCATAACTTTTCAGCTATATAAATTGATCAATTTTTACTAAAATTTGTTTAAACTTTTTTATCGAAAACTGTATCAAACAACCCTAATTAACCACCTTTCGTTTCTGCTTTCTTTTTCTCGAAAGGAACATTACGTTTTAAAAATGGGACTAGTTACCAACTACAAACAGCCAAGTCAAACTTAGTTTTTGGTCAGTTAACTACTCACAACGCCCGTCTTGCACTATAACTTAATTAGCCATTTGTCACTAGTAAGATGAAGCAGTCCGCCGGAAACGGCACCGTTCTATTTTTAATTAATTTTTAAAAAATAAGAATTATAAAGTAAATTTATTTGCTACAAGGAAAATCAGTGTCACTTAGCAAGTGCAAATGGATACAACGTCTCTACAAGTTGTGTCGAATTAAAGAAAAAAGAAATAATTCTTAATCCTTGACTTCGATGCATCGACATATAAAATCTTAAAGGGCGTATTTAGCTTATCCAGCTCCATATAACAACGGATAAATAATTTATGTGTCTCGAGTACTCTAAAAATAATGAACTATCAAGAATGATGCGAATGATGTCGCATATCAGCTTTCGAACTTCTCTTAATTTATTGCACGGGATTAAAAGAAAAGAAAGAATCTATTTGTCCATATCCGATTTTGAATAAGATATTTCATCCCTCAAAGAAAGGGGAGTAAATTATTTTTTATGGCAGTGTCATACATAATTCTATTTTTATTCTTATTTTGAAAAAGAAAAACCTAAAAGTAGAATTATGGAGTTTTCTCTTCACATGCATTTTAACTTATCGATATTTTACCTCGGTTTTGATGTGGCTAAAAAATTAATTTCTTAATAAATTTTGACTAAAGTGATAAAACATATGATCGAAAAATTAATAAAAGTTCTGAATAGCATGAAATGTATGATTAAAATTAAATGTTAACTTTTTGTTAGATTTTTAGAATTTTTTAAGCTATGTGATTTTGTAAGACCTATAAAAACCGAAAATTAGTCCATATGCAGCTGCTACTACAAACTATACTTCCAAAGAAATTAAGCCCCTTGTTTGATGGCCATTATTGAGAAAACATAATGCGTTGAATAGTTATTTTTTTAGAGAATGTGTGCTTAAAAAATGAGAAAAATTTGGATTTACGTGCAAAATATTTTATTGTATGAATATGTAATTGAAAATAAATATGAAAATTAAATAATTTTGTTTTAAAGGGAGACAATTGTGGGTTAAAAGATTCACACTAAGCATAAATAATAGGGAAAAATTCACTTTCCCTACTTTATCTTTACCCTATTTCAAAAATAACAAAATAACTTTTACATTTCAAAAATCAGATTTTTTGACCTATATATACACATATTTATAAATATTTATTTATTTATTTAACNCCCCCACCCACCACAGATTCACACCAGAGCAGCCACCACCACACCTTCTGCAACATCACTCCACCCGAATCATTTCACCAAGGCATCTGCAACATCAACACTTTAAATACCCACACACCACCACAATTCACACCAATCGTTGGAGCAGACACAACAACCACCATGCCGGAGCAGACAACAAATCGACGGACGACTGTCGAGTGAAAATCGCAAATCGCAGCGGGCGGAGCAAATAGCGAGCTTCAAATCGCAGCGTCGCGTCTGACAGAGTGGGTAGATCTGCAGAAATGAGTTCAGTTTGGAGGGGAAGAAGACGAAGGGCTGCAGCGTCAGTTGGAGATGAATCGATCGCCAGTTTCCGGAGATGAATGGGTCGCCGGTTGTCGGATATGAAGGAGGTGATTTTTCCTTGTAACTGGAAGGTCGGTGAAGTAGCTGAAAAGGAGAAGAGACGTCGTGGGGTAGGAGATCAGCAGCTTCCACATCGGTCATCGGTTGTGCGCCGTCGCCGGATGAGTGGTGGAATGAAAGTGGAAGATGAGCGGGAGATAAGTGAGAGATGGAGAGGGAGGGAAATGAATTTAGGGTTTGATTGGGGATGAAATTAAAATATAATTTGTAATTATATATAATATATATAATTATAATTTGTATCTAATTAAAAATATCTGATTTTTGAAAAGTAAAACTTGAAATCTGATTTTGGAAAATAAGTTTTGAAAAGTAGGGTTTAGTGTAATTTCCACTAAATAATATTGAGTCATGCTACATTGCTCGCGTGGGTGACCGTGGGGATGACCGTACACACACACATGGGGGGTTGGGATTATTTTATTCACGTGGGACCCGCGCCTGGGTTGTGAGTGTGCGGTCATCCTTGCGATCACCAATGCAGGTCGTTTAGCATTTTTCAATAATATTTTCTAATGAGGATGCATTTTCAACAAATAAATCATTGTTTCACGCACAAATACCAATGTTGATACCCTTTTTCTAAGCCATCGTGCTTGCTTGTAGAAAAATGCATTATATATATTTTGTTGTGGCATCCACATCAAATGTATGGTGCACACCAATATCCTTTCAGCCTCAATATGAGACCTCAACCAAATAATCTCATTTATTAGGTGCAAAAAGAATTAGGAGTCATTTTGAGTTGGAAAGCTGCTAAACAATCTTTTCCCATAAAGTGTAAGTGAGGATAACACGTTTAGTATAACCCATATATATATATATACACACTCAGAGAGAGAGAGCGAGCGAGCTGGGGTGGGGTGGATGAACATGGCTAAAGAAGAAGCTTCAGAGAGAGAGAGAGGGTGGCGTGGCTAAAGAAGAAGCTTCAAAAAGAGAGAGAGAGAGAGAGAGAGGGTGGTGGGGTGGGGTGGGGTGGGGTGATGAACATGGCTAAAGAAGAAGCTTCAAAAAAAGTTTAAAACCACGCCATACATGGGAGATGGCTAATGCAGGGAAAGTAAAGTGAAAATTCTTGGCACATATTAGACTCAAGCAAAAGGAATAATTAGTCAATATTTGAGTCACATCAAAATTTTTATTTTCATTCTTTTACTCATTTTAAACCACACATTCTTCAATAAAATAATATTTTTCATCCCATCAATAACTTTTACTTCTTTTTCAATCACACATTTTCCATCAATCTACTATTCCAAAATACATTCTTCCAAAATAATGTGATTTAAACACACTATTTTTATTTCGCAATCTCATTGTTAGTAACAAAGAAAGTGACTCTTTTCGGAAGATATTTTTAGCGACTTTTCAAGAGGAATGGTGGTGGGAATCACGAAATTCGCGAATAATAATGAGTAATAATTTTGAACTATGGTTGAATCTGATATTTGATTTTGACTTAATAATCCAAATAACTTATAATTTGCTAAAAATGTGTCACAAACATAGGCATAAGTGAGATGCACAGCAATTATCTAGTTATGTCAATAGCATTCTTATACAATAAATATATGTAGCCCTTATTGGAGTCACATTAAAATTTTTATTTTCATTCTTCTACTCATTTTCAACCATACATTTTTTAATAAAATAATATTTTTCATCACATCAATAATTTTTCTTTTTTTTTCAACTACACATTCTCCATCAATCTATTATTCCAAATTACATTCTTTCAAAATAATGTGGCTCAAACACATCCGTAATATTGAATAGAACTGAACACGTATACTACTAAACATGTCACGTGGCCCTCGTTTGCCTCCAGTACCCCCTATTAAATTATAATTCATTTTTCTCTTTTTTCTTATTAATCATGCATTTTTAATAAAATAATATTACACATAAATCCAATTTCCTTCTTTTTTAACCACACATTCTCTAAAAAATTACTATTTTTCATTTTATAATGTGGAATAATGGAGGCCAAACGGACACATATAATATTGACCTTTTTTTAAGGGGTAATGCTACATGTACACACACTTTTACACAATCTTTTACACCTCTCTCATATTTAGGGGGGTCCACGATTATTTTATTTTGTGTGGGCCCCCCTCCATGTGAGGTGGGTGTAAAAAATTGTGTAAAAGATTGTGTACACTTAGCATTATTCTTTTTTAAGATAGTGTCACTAAAACTCATGTTTGGTGGCCATTATTTAAAAAAAAAAAAAAGGTATTGAATAGTGATGTCAGGAGAATGTGTGATTAAAATATATGAAAAAGTTTTGGTTTTAAATATAGAATATTCTATTTTTTGAATGTGTGATTTAAAATAAATATGTAAAAAAAAAAAAGAGTTTGTCAATAATGATTATCAAATAGGGGCTAAATGACAACAAAATAGTTTAACTCGTTGAATTTATTACGAAACGTGTAAAATGGAAAATAAAAAGGATAAAAAAAATAAAAAATAAATATATATATATACGCGAAAATATTTCAATTTGAACTTATGGGTATAACGGTCAATATACATTACAACGTTCCTCTGTTCTATCTACAAACATAATTCCGCCAGATCCCATTTCAAAAAAGTTCCTTTCACTCTCTTCACACGCTCTCTCTTTCTCTCTCTAGGCCGGATTCCAATCGGACCAATCCCTAACCTCAGTCAACAATTTCACTAACAAATTTCGATTAAAAGAATTATTTTAGAAAATAACAGAGAAAAAAAATTGCAATTACTGTAATCCCTTTTCTGAATTCTTAGGGTTAAATTAAACAATTGATTTCACTTTCAGCAAGTGTTGTGTGGTGTTATTCTTTGGTTACTGCAATTCAAAGCAACGGCTCCAGACATACAACTCTCCATAGCTTTGATTGCAATCCAAGGCCCCACCTAATTTTTGAAAACCCATCTCTTTCTCTCTCTCATCTCCAGTCTCTCTTCATCTCTACATCCAATTCTATAGTACAAGATACTCGATCTACTCATATGGCATCCAAGAACCAGAACAAACCTCCAGTTCATGCACCGTCTAGCCCGTCAAATGTGAGTATCTATTTCGCACTCTTCCTTACAATTTTGAATTTTATTTGTCACGGGTCTTCTGGATTAATTTGTGATTTGCATACTTCCGGGGGCGTATTAAGAGATTTTGAGTTTTATTGAGTTTGTTTGCAGCAAATTTTGATGCTTTCTTTCCGCTTTCTAAACTGTGGGTCTATTCTAAGAAGAGTTTTTTTGATGATTCGATTAGATTCTTTAAAAAATTTATTGTTTTTTGATGAGTTTTATTTATATTCACAGATTAATTTGCCGACTAATCTTTGAATTGCAAATTGTCATTTCTTGCTCACGCATGGAACTATAATCACTTGTAATTTTGTTTTCTTAATTAATTTAGGTAGTCAGATTCTGATATTTTTTGAATTTTTGTGGGGGGTTTTGCTGATTTTGCCAGAGCAAGTATAATGTTGACGAAGCTTCATTAGATAAAAGGCGAAAGGTTGGAAGCACAAAAATGCCGCCCAGCACTGGTACAAGAACTCTAACCCGACAGGCCTTTTCAGTGGTTAATGGGGGTCATGATCAGCCTCCGACAAGTGGCCCGCCAAGCGTTGCTGGCTCGGATTGTGGTGTAATTGAGCTCACCAAAGAGGATATTGTGGCATTACTGAATGAGAAGCTGAAAATTAAGAATAAATATAACTATAAGGTAAGTCAAACATGTGATTTTTTTGGTAATAAGTTGAGCTTTGAGTTTGGATATTTGAATTGTTTACTTTTGTTTGAATTTTGATTGTGCTGTTTCAGGAAATATCTGAACAAAGGTTTGAGTACATAAAAAGGCTTAAGCAATGTATCAAATGGTTCCAACAGCTTGAGGGAAATTATATTACAGAGCAGGAGAAACTGAATAATTTGTTGGAGATGGCAGAGAAGCAATTCAATGAAATGGGTATGATTGGTTTTCATTTATGTTTACAGAGACACAGTGTTTCTTGCTTTGTTGGCATTGAAAAAGAAAAGAAATTTGAAAAATTGCTAACTTGTGTCGATCCTTTTATGTTTCTCTCAGAGTCTCTGATGAAGGCTAAGGAAGAAGAGCTGAATTCCATTATAATGGAGTTGAGAAAGAATCTGGATGCACTACAAGAGAAGTTTACAAAGGAGGAATCAGATAAATTGGTAAGAAGCACATTGACTTGTCAAATGTTGGTATGCAGTTTCTGGAAGCTACTTTGTTGAATATTTCTGGAGAATTAAACTGTTGAATATGAATTATCAGGACGCATTAGATTCATTGGCAAGAGAAAAAGATTCTAGAGTGGCTTTGGAGAGGCTGCAAGTTTCTCTATCGGAAGAGCTCAAGAGAACACAACAAGACAATGCAAGTTCAAACCAAAAGGTAAGTGGAGAAGATATGTTTGTGAAAATATATTCAGAGTGTACTTTCACAAAATTAGTTTATTGAGAACTGTGTTGCTCTCGGCTTGTGAATCTGCAGATACAATCACTTAACGATATGTATAAGCGGTTACAGGAGTACAACACTAGCCTACAACAATACAATAGTAGACTTCAGTCAGAACTTGCTGCAACCAATGAGATGCTTAAGCGCGTGGAGAAAGAGAAGGCGGCAGTGGTTGAAAACCTAAGCACTTTGAGGGGTCATTATACTTCTCTGCAGGATCAACTTACTTCGTCTAGAGTGAGTGCAGTTATTTTATTTTTTTGTGTCCTTTTATCTTTATTTATCAATTGTCCACAATCATGTTGTTCATCTCTATTACCATCATAGGCTTTTCACCAGAGAAGGTTTACTTGATCGTATGTTTATATCTTATTTCAGATATGTGCGGTGTTTTTGTTCAGTGACTTGTTTTCTGATCATTCATTTTTCTGCTTCATTTAGTCGAAGTTTGTTTACAAGCGTGTCTTCTGCAATCTGCATTTCTCAAATTATTGATAATCATATATCAAATGAAGACAACTTCATAGCTAGGAAAAAAGTCAAAGACTTGGAAAATTTAGTGCTTACATTTTCCTTTTTGTCGTTCCTTTTATTTTACTGCTCTAAAATTATGGCATGAATTCTATCTGAAAACTTACAGAGTGAACATGTTTGTAAGGACCAGCATCAAATGGATTGTAAGTCATAAATTTTTAGATATTGTAACATTTTTATATGCAACCCCTTTTAAAGCTCCAAGTAAAATTACACACAGAGAGACATGCACCACGTGTAGGACTTGAGTGATTACTATGACAGTGTGTCATTTCTGCATGCCTCATTGTTTGACCTGACTGTCAGTGTTTGTTGAATCCAGTTAAAATGAAATATCTACATTGCATAGTACTTGTTATGTCTTTGAACATTTCTTAAAAGTGCTCAATGATGGTTGATATTTAAAGGCTTCGCAAGAGGAAGCTATCAAACAAAAGGAAGGCTTAGCGAATGAAGTGGGATGCTTGAGGGCTGATATGCAACAAGTCAGAGATGATCGTAACCGTCAATTATTACAAGTCCAGGCTTTGTCAGCTGAAGTAGAACAATATAAAGAATGTACTGGAAAAACTGTTGCAGAGTTAGATGGCCTGACAGTGAAAACAAATGAGCTAGAGGTCTGTTTTTGTCATCTGGTTTCTTGATTGACTATCCAAAATCACTTCATTAAAAGATTAACATTTATTTTTCTCAGTCAACCTGTCTATCTCAAAGTGAACAAATTAGAAGACTGAAGGAGCAGCTTGCCTTTGCAGAGAAGAAATTGAAGGTTTCTGATCTGGCATTTTACGTTTTTTATGATAAGTTACTTTTGGAGAAGTTCTTTTGTCTATATTCAGAAACGTTGCTAGTGACTCTTGAGGTTTGCACAGTTACTCGATGGTATTATTGCATGAATTTTCTTAGCACTTTGTGTTTATTATCATTTTGTAAGATGTCCAATACATCGGCATTGGAGACGAAAACTGAATTTGAGGAGCAAAAGCAGTTTATTATTGAGTTACAGAGTCGTCTAGCTGGTGCAGAATTAAAAATTGTAGAAGGGGAAAAATTACGGAAAAAGCTGCACAACACCATTTTGGTAATGTTTTTGTACATATTTGTAATTATTTTATGTTAACTGAATTTTGATGGAAATTTTAATTGCAGTTCTTCCATCAATGTCAAGATTATTCATTTAAATTATTATGTCATCCAGGAATTGAAAGGGAATATCCGGGTCTTCTGTAGGGTGAGACCCCTGTTGTCTGATGATGGTGTTGAGACAGAAAATAAAGTTGTCTCTTTCCCGACAGCAATGGAAACCCTTGGGCGTGGCATTGATTTGACACTAAATGGTGAGTAGGCTTAATTGAAAATCAGTCACAGTAATATAGCTATACTATGCTACTTTTAAATATCATAACCTGCTCTCTTATTCATGATGACCTTTTCAATATTGACAAGGACAAAAACACTCCTTCACTTATGACAAAGTCTTTCTGCCTGATGCCTCCCAAGAAGATGTTTTTGTTGAGATATCACAACTTGTGCAGAGTGCTCTTGATGGTTACAAGGTGATGTACATGCTCAGCTGTCAATTTTGTTCTTCTCTATAAATTAAGGACTAGTAACTCCCTTCAGAAGTTAAGGTTGATTGTGCTAAAAGACATATATAACAGCCTGCAACTTTTCCGGGCTGATCCGCTTACGTTTGCCCTTAGATATTGCAAGCAACTAATATCTGCAGCACTCGTTGACATGTTGATATATACTAACTTTTACTGAGGATCTTAAATCTTGTGTATGTGAAACAATAGAAGAGAGATCAATTACCTTTAAGAATTTATTTTGGTTGTGATTTTGTGGATGTCTGCCCTTACCTTATTTAAAGAATGTGATAGAGTTGCTCTCTTTTAAAGCTATACTTTGATTTGAGGAACTTGTCAAAATTGGAAGTACTATATAATAGCATCCTTGAGCTCACAGGCAATTGTGGTGTGGTTTTCAACTTTTCAGGTTTGTATATTTGCTTATGGACAAACTGGTTCAGGGAAGACTTACACAATGATGGGCAAGTCAAGACTCCACGATCAGAAAGGTCTGATTCCACGGACATTAGAACAGGTTTTCGAGACAAGGCAAGCTCTTCAATCCCAAGGATGGAAATATGAAATGCAGGTGCACAGTGAATGCCATTGTGTTTTAATCTGCACAAAATAATTATGCTTTTCTTTGCTTCCTAATCATCTAATCTTACTTTTATTTTTAGGTGTCAATGCTTGAAATATACAATGAAACAATACGTGATCTTTTAATACCAAATAAATCAGGCTTTGATATGTCACGAACAGAAAATGTCGGAAAGCAATATGCAATCAAACACGATGCCAATGGCAACACTCATGTCTCTGATCTAACAGTTGTGGACGTTCGTAGTAGTAATGAGGTTTCATATCTTTTAGAGCGGGCATCACAGAGCAGGTAACAAAACTGTCGATTTGTTTCCCATTTCTTTTTGTTGACCATTCACGTCTTTCAATTTCATATTGGATTTGGAAGTAGTTCAATACGGGGACTTTAATCTAATTTGCAGAGATATAGTTTCATAGTCAAGTGTAAAACATTGTTTGCATCATGTGTAATATGGACAAATGTTAAATGTTAGCTCAGCTTTTCCATTTCGTGGCCATCAAAAGGATTGATCTTTTGCTTTCAATTTCTTTAGATCTGTCGGAAAGACTCAAATAAATGAACAGTCTTCTAGGAGCCATTTTGTCTTTACATTGCGAATAATGGGTGTCAATGAGGTATGGCTATTTTACACGAATCTACCTTTTTGATTTGTCACTGTGGTTATTCCATCTTTATCATTGTTTGGATAGAAAATCACAAAACTCAATTTATATTTTTGTTGTGTTATAGAGCACCGATCAACAGGTACAAGGCATCCTGAATCTAATTGACCTTGCTGGTAGTGAGCGTCTTTCTAAGAGTGGGTCTACTGGGGATCGACTGAAAGAAACTCAGGCATAAAAACTATAACTTTCTCCATTATTTTTGGAATTGTTCACATAATGGATTTGCCCTAACTTGTATTTTTGTTGGCTTGTAATCAGGCAATTAATAAGAGTTTATCATCCCTAAGTGATGTTATATTTGCCTTGGCGAAGAAGGAGGAGCATGTGCCATTTAGGAACTCAAAGCTGACCTATCTTCTCCAGGTAATTGTTTAACTTCAAACGAGTGAAGACATATTGAGGGGTTCATCTATCCAGAAATATTTTGCAGTATTTCTACCTTTTAGAAGATTTACAGGAGCATTTTCCTAATTATGTGAGCTGATGCACTAAAATATAAAAATGCAATTATATTTAAGCGGCTTCACTATGGTTCGCTTAGTGGAAGATTTTGCTTTCTTGTTCTTGCCTAACACATTAGGCAGTTGTGGAAAATCTTTGGCCTTGAGTATCTGTAATCTGTCATCGATACAACGATGGTAGACTCATCCTACAGCCTAGAATTACTATTGAGTTCTTAGTCGAAGGTCTTTTTTCTTTCTTCTTAGTACTGATTACATAAGTGAGAAGGGGCCTCAGGTTCCGCTATGTCTTTCTCATAGAATAATCTGGAGACCATAATGTTCTTTTAGTATAACGAAAATGTTACAGTGAACTTTTGGGTTTGATGATTATACTACTGAACTTGGACTTCAATGCTTGTTGGATGAGGAGTTCGGCCACATCCTTCTTGGGATGACATGGAACTTTTCTGGAGGGGGTTGAATTTTTTTAATCATGTTTTAGGGGAATCTTTTGATGATATTAGCTGTGCCTATAAACAACTTATATGGCTGACAAAATTACAAATATTAATGTGCCTAGTGAAATGAAAATACAAAAGATTCGTTTAGAATTAACTAGAAAATGAAGTTAGAAGTCTTCCGTGCTCTATTACGTTCGCATCCTGTGGTATGGTATCATTGGATTAACGTGATCAATGTTTTTCCTTTCTCTCCCCGTCCTCAGCCTTGTTTAGGTGGAGATTCCAAGACATTGATGTTTGTCAATGTATCTCCGGATCCTTCTTCAGTCGGTGAATCACTTTGTTCACTGAGGTTTGCAGCACGTGTGAATGCTTGCGAGATTGGTGTCCCCCGGCGTCAAACCAATCTTAGATCTTCTGATTCTCGTCTGAGCATTGGCTGATTTTTGAAATAGTAATGTTAATAGAGATCATTTTAACCGAGAAAAAGTACTTCTAACATGATGTTCTTGTAATCAGTAATATCAGTGGGGTTGTGTTTTTCATTTATTGATTTGTATTTTTGAAAACATCCTTGCATTGATGATAGTTTATGCTCTTGTTGTACAATATCTGAAAGAGGTCTATAGTGCATAAAACAGTAAAAACCACTATCTGTTCAAAGCTTTAATTAATCGATCAATCTCTTCAGCCTTAAAACTTATTGTCTGTTGAAAGAAGTTGGGATTCTGACTAAGCATTGAGAAGTATTTTATAGAAGTGACCTTTCTAACATTTGTTATTTGCTTCTCTATGTAATGTGGAATGATTCGTTAAAAATAAACACGTCTTCTCTTTAAATAATTCAAGTTTTTTTTATGAGAAAATGAATTTAGATCGAGCAATGATCGGTAAGTAAAAGCATACGTGCATTTATAAGCTTTATTGCAAATCTTTTTTATTTGGTTGATGAGTTAATTGCAAATAGTATATCTAGAGTCTGTCTGGGAGGGCTTTTCACATTTTGAAAATTGATTTTTCAGCCGTTGGTTTATGACTGTTTCTCACCAAGGGCAGCAGCAATATGTGGAAATGTAACCGTTGCTCCTTTTAACGGTCATAAAAGTAATTTTAATCCAGTTTTTCAGCCCACCCAGACAGGCTGTTAAATGCAACTGTATTGTTAGATAGTGAGATCCAAAAGGAGCATAATATGTGATATCATATTTATCTATTTCACCAATCTGAGTTATTAAGAAATAATTTCTTCTTATTTCTAAGTTCTAACAACTTGAATATATACTCATATTCAGTAAACTATAATCGCTATCGTAGTAGACATTTGAATTAATAAGGTCTAAAATGAGTCATTTTCACATATTAAACCTAAGATTTTAGAGCATGTTACTTGCCACTGTCCACATCTTTTTCTCCATAAACCTAGCTTCGTTTGATAAGGATAGACGAAGAAGAAGAAAGAATTAAAGATTTTTTTTTTTTTTTTTAATAATGCTTTCATTTTTAACATTGAATTGATCAAAATATGCAGAATTATTCCTTTTTGTAGAGAAATGACTAGCTCAAAGTACTCATATTTCATACCATCATTTATCTAATTGAACTCTGGGAGACCTCATCCTCATATTGTTCCTAAATAGCTCGGTTGTAATGCAATAGGTGATTAATCGATTAATCATAGACAGCGAACAAGGGCAGGTTTAGGGGGGTGAGGGATTGGGCTGCAGTTCAGTTCCCCAACCCCAAGCATTAGTGAAATCATATTATCTCGGCTTAAAATATTTTTTATGCATTATCTGGTAGCAATTTTAATCCAAATTTTAAACAATTATTGGATCGTTAGTAGCTTCCATTGTTGACTTCCTTCACACATTTTAGGCAGCCGTGGGACCCACTAACGGTCAGAATTCTGCTTTTAAAGACAAGCCTTTAGTCAAATTCTGGATTCGTCCCTAACACGACGGATTTTAATCCATTTAACTTCCTTTAAGGACGAGAAGTAACTAATAACAAAATATCATTCATATTGAAATTAAAACGTAATTTCGTCTATTAGATTGACACCAACGTCGAGAAGTCCAGTACATGAAAAATACATTAAATTAATATTTTGTTGATAATATGATGAGTTGAAATTTATTAATAAAAAAACTAATTTGTATTGATAAATTAATTTATATATAGTTGGACCTCAAATGAGCATTGTTTCTAGGTGGACTTTTGAGTCCTCTCATCTTCCATCTTTTATATAATCATTATCACCAATGGCAACTCAACACGTCATCCATATCCATAACTTGGGAAATGAAATTTTGAAAATCCATCCACCTACCTCTTTCCCATCATTGACAATTAAAGTGATAATCTTTAATGTGTGACCAAAGTAAGATTCTCTTAATTATTAAAGATTCTATTCTTAAACTAAATTTTGATGCTTTTAATTATGAGAGAAACAAAATTTTGTCCTACAATGTAAAGTGGCTTCAATTGGCCAAAGAATGTTTTCAAAAGTCAAATATAAAACAGGAAAAGCATATTATAGTATTTTTTACTAGATGCAAAACTTGGAATGTTTGTGCCAATTATCCTTAATATAAGTATAATTGAACCCAACGTAGGCAAACGATAAGGACGTTTTGTCCAATTATCCTTGAAGCGTAACCTAATTTAGCACATTAAAGGTTTCGCTCCTTAGTGGAATAAAGTGTGGAAAGAAATTAAACGTAGTATAATGTACAAAGGCCGTTGCGATTATTTCTCTTTTTTTTCTTTTCCTTTTATCCAGTTTTATTATTATTATTTCATTCTCACATAAAATTTCACAAATCAGTCATGTTATTAGTAATTAGTCGAGAAGTGCTTGACGATCTAAAGATACTTGTGTGTTTTTCACTTGACTTCTCTATTTCTACATTGGACAAAATGTTATTTATCAAGAAATTCTCTTCCTCACTATAATCAGTTTGCTTTTTTGGGCTCATCAAGCTAATTAATAGCATACATTAGTCTAATTTCCAATATTAAAAGTAAATAATCGAAGTAGATAGAAGATAAGAGACTCTAGCCAGCAATTAGAGTACATAGGTGAGGCTCAAGTGCTATAAAAAAAATAAAAGGCAAAAGAGTTAGATGTTAAGAAATTAATTAGGTACTCAAATGCATATGTATGAAAAGACTGGGGACTCCACCAATTGCTAAAAAGTACCAAACCGACAATCAAAATGGCAGCTGAGGTGGTAATTGCATTGGTTTTCACTGTTCATAATCGCGTGTCCGTGCGATATATGCAATTTTTCCCAAAAAATTCCCCCGATTTCTAAATTTTCCCCTGACTCGAATATCCTTTTTTCCTTTTCAAACCTGTGAAATCGAGTAGCAAAGTTTCCCTTTTTACTTGTGTTGACTTCAGCAAATTCAATTTTTCGGCGGTTGATCGGAGATGGTTTCCCCGGAAAATACGAATTGGTTGTATGATTATGTGGTCGAGGATGTGGCCGTTCCTGAAGGGAATTTCTCCGCTCCAGCTTCTGGATTTTCATGGCCTGTGCAACCCTTGAATGGTTCATCCATTGTCAGGTAATGTCTGGGAAAAGATAAAAAAAAATAATAATGGTTTTTTTTTTTTTTTTTGCAGTTTTTGTGGTGCTTACAGTCATTTGGTAATTGTTTGTTGAATTTTAGCTGTTTTAGGGTTTTAATGAACTCGTGCTGTTCGTTCTTTATTTCCAAAATGTCATATTTTTGGTTTTATTTGTTATATTTCACATTCTTTTCTTCTTTCTGCTTCTTTTTTCCCTAGTCCTTTTTGTACCCCTCAAGTTTGTGTTGGGAGTTGATTTATTGGAAATTGTATTCCGAGCTAATTATTAGAAGTAAATAATTTTGTAGTAGCGGTTGCAGAGCTTTTAGTGTTTAATACTCTTAACGAAAATGATTAAATTTTACTGTTTGATAGTCCAGATATTTTTTTAATGTCTGTGGCTTTATTAAGATTAATTTATTCTTGATCGTGGGAGAAACGAGGAAGTTCATTTGGATGTCATATTGATGTATTACATAATGTTACTGTGTAACTGGTTGTAATTTTGGTATCCTTATTAAGATGTTATTCTTATTTTGCATTTACTGGTACACAGAGCTTTTAGATGCTAAAATTTTGATATGTTTTCGGGTTCCAGATCAAATTTTAGTTTAAAATGATATGTGCTTATTGTATGTAAAGTTAGCTACTGATTAGACTTGATTTCTTCTTGGTTAATACAAGTAGGATTTTATATCTTTAATCTAGGACTGCCATTGGGGTTAATATTGTAAGTGGTATTACTGTGACAATTGAGGGGCCAGTTTCTATAAATCATATCAGAAAAAGTGGAGACTTGGTTCCCTCTAGATCAGATTTCTCTATCTCTAATTTAAATGATTTTTTTTCCTGTTTTCCTCTCAGTTAACACTGTACCTAGACCTTTTGTAGTTAATTTATTGAAGCTTCTTTTCAAATTTAAAAATAAAAAACTAAATAATGCTCTTGGTCTCTCTAATTAAATAATTGCGCTAACCACTCAGGCAACATTTCAGCTGTCGTTATGGTTAAAATTTTGATTTGCATGTCGAATAGTTCCAGTTATTTTCTTTTATATATACATAATAGGTTAAAATACAACCATATTATCACTTTAGTTCTTGGGGATATTCATGGTGTTTGCTCAAAGGTCAATGACATTGATTGGAAAGGTCTTGAGTTAATTTTCTTACCAATTATTTAAGTGCTTCTGGATGGAATAGTTCGTAAAATTTGTTGGAGTGGATGAAGAGAGTAAGGTGTTCTGGTATATGTGTTTGAAATCAATATAAGTGGAGATCCTTTTATTTGTCAAAATAGAAAATCTTCAAGAACCTTGGTACTTGCAATTCCTCACATTTCTTATGCTTTCTTTTCCTGTGATCTAATCTTTTACAGCGTGGAAAATGATTGCTCATTTGAGGATTCAGATGCCCAGAAGGAACCTAGCTCAAAGAAGCGGTAAAGAACCATTACACATTTTGTATTGGTCTAAAGTTATGGTAAAGAAATTGCATTCATTATAACCATATTCCCCCAAATATAAGGACAGTTTTGTTTAATCTTTTTTGTGTGTGGTGGGGGGGGGACCTGTCTCACTGTGCATCTTTCTTGAAATTTTACCCTTTACGCAATAGAAACATGCCAACAAATTACACGATAAACTTGCATTGTTAACTTTGAGTTTACCCTTATAAACTGAACGTAACTAATGTAAATTCTGAAAATTCATAAGAATTCTGATCTCTGTGTTACAAAAATCAAACTACCCCCATTGGATATTGTGTTGCTTTTTGTCTAAAGAACTATGCTCACTTAATAAAGCCCTAGTTATAGTAAACAATGTTTCGTCTAACGTTGTTATGTTCTTCGCAGAGCTAGAACTGCATCTTGTGCTCCATCGAGTTCCAAAGCAAAAAGGGAGAAACAACGAAGAGACAAGTTGAATGACAAGTGCGATCATGTTCTCTTCCATTGCGTTATGGCACCCGCACCCTCTCTCTCTCTCTCTCACACACACACACACACACACAGCTTTAGTAACTTCATCATTTATTTTTTTAGGTTTATGGAATTGAGTGCTCTCTTGGAGCCTGGAAGGCCTCCCAAAACCGACAAGGCTGCTATTTTGCTTGATGCTGCTCGTTTGGTGACTCTGCTACGAGGTCAAGCCCAGAAACTGAAGGACTCAAATACAGATCTACAGGAAAAGATTAAAGAGCTGAAGGTAAGATTGCCTATATTTATATTATTTCGGTGTATTTGTCTCCACTAATCATTTTGGATGGAATGTGATTCCAATCTGGTCTAAAAGTTTAACCTTCTCAAGAAAACAAGTGCTATGTTTTCTTTTTATTTGACTTTGCTACGATTGACCAACCAGAAGATGATCACTTGTGCACAATCTGGGGTTCCATTAATTTGTGTAGGCTGAGAAGAATGAGCTCCGCGATGAGAAGCAAAGGTTGAAGGCTGAGAAGGAAAAGCTAGAGCAACAACTAACGATAACAAATGCGCAACCTGGCTTTCTCCCTGCTCCTGCCATGCCTGCTGCATTTGCTGCCCAAGGTCAAGCTGCAGCAAACAAATTTGTACCCGTCATCAGTTATCCTGGAGTCGCCATGTGGCAGTTCATGCCTCCTGCTGCTGTCGATACCTCACAGGATCATGTGCTTCGCCCACCAGTTGCATAAGTTGGCAGTCAATTCCTTTAATGGTGGGAATCACATTATGGTCCAATCGTTGATTTGTTTTGTCAACTGTCTCGACTCTTATTAGTTTTTGCCAACTATATAACCTGTGAACAATGAGAAGTTTGTGTGATTATTGACTTTGATAAATGATCACTATGAAGACAGACTCGGCACAATTTGATCAATCTTTTTTGTATCTCGATAAGAATTATCTGTCTTCAATCGAATCACTATTCGTGATTCAAGTTCTATTTTATCATCAACCCAATCTGAATTCACATTTTCCTTTTGTCTTAAATTCTGCAATAGGAAACAAAAATAATTCGCCCCTTTCAGTTAGTGATGGTTTGTTACTTTGATTGATGATAGAGTTACAAAACTGTTAATCATCTCGTATAAAAGTTTTTGTTCAATAGAGACTTGTATTCATTAAATTTAGTCTCCAACAAAAACAGATCTACTCAAAAACCATTATTTTTATATTGAAATGGCTTGATGCGATGCTGGAAAACTCTTCTTGATTTCATCTTCCGACTCCCAACACCTTTTTGTCTCTTATTCCTCCTTTATAGTGCTGGCATTTTGGAAAAGAGTGCAGGTGAATCCAGGAACGAATCCAGGATCGAACTACAAGTCGGGTTAATATGTATACGTAAAATAAATTTTAAAAAAAATTACGCCAAAAAATGAAGTGGGCTGGGGACTGGATTGGGCTAGACCCGGCCCAATCCCCCTACATCCGTCCCTGGTTGACCCCCTAACATGTCAATGGAATGCAGGTGGAATCCTATGGAAATTTCTAACTTCTCAAGTTTCTTGACCCCACTGAGAAGAGTATCAGTGGTTGCTAGATTGCTCAAAGTGCTAACCAAATCAACGTACCATCAGCTCAAGAAAGACTTTACTCCAATGGTTAAGTCTCAAATCCCATTCACTAGAATTCGGCCTCATATTGAGGTGGACAGCTCCAGCAGGAATCATTTTGAGTTTTTTGATGTACAATCCTGTGCTTCTTAATTTTTTCATACCTACTGGCAGTGATGTGATATTGTCCCACTGCAATCAAGCACTTGAAGTTTAGCAAACCCTCCAAGTGGATACTGAAGGACATTGTGTCACAGCATTAGGAAGTTCATAGCTTTCATATTTCCATTACAGATTAAGGAAACTCTCCTATCATATTTCCATCTGTGCTTGAAGTTTAGCAAGCCCTCCAAGTGGATACTGAAAGACATTGTGTCACAGCATTAGGAAGTTCATAGCTTTCATATTTCCATTACACATTAAGGAAACTCTCCCACCAGAAGTCATCTGACAAGGGATATAAGTTCATCGTACAGTGAGGAAGAAATCCAAACAGCAACATCATGGACATTCACAGTCGAATTCACATCCTCCTCCAATAAACAATAATCCTTGAGACACTCAATAGCAATTCCCCGGTTCATTATTTCCTCGTAATCGTGGTGCTGCTCTAGCAAACCAATATCTGACTAGTCTCTGTACATCAAATTAGTAGTCCAATCTTCTCCTTCGTTTAGCACCTCAATTTTGAGACGATATCAGACATCATTTAACAGCGAACTTCTGAAAATCTGGTAGCACGGGCTTTTGCTGAATGTGTATGCTACTCACACGAATGGATGGAAGTTGAGTTAAAATTAATAAAAACTCAAGAGGATAGCATTAAAATGTTGTAAGATTGACTATTATTTACATATTACAACTACTTATTGGATTTAATAATCCCAGTTTTTATTTTACACAAGTCACACAGGATGAAAACAAACAGCATTGTATCCACACTTCAAATCAGTCAAATTCCCTATTCTTCACTCTTCTCTACATATTCTTCCACATTTTTTGACACTTTTTAAGGAACCCTCCAGCAGAATAAAAGAATAGCTTCACACCTGAGCAAAACATACAAACAAACATAAATCGCATTAACAACCTTTGGCATCACTTCCAAGAAAATAATAAAACATTCTAAGCAAATAAAATTCATGTCAATAATATGAAAATGTTAGGTTGGCCACGGAGAATGTTCAACCAGAATCAACTGTAACCATTTATTATGAAAAATGACCAACATAGATGAAAAAGCATCACACGGTGTACTGATGTGCGTTGAATTATATTAGACTAGGACCTGTAAAAAAATTACCTTCATCAATCAAACTCATCGCCTTCATCTCCAAATTGATTCTCCAGTATCAGGCCAGCTATTTTACTATTTACAGATTTAATTTGGGTCTCTCTCGCAGAGTACTCTCTAGTATGTACAGTCTGAGGCCGAGTGTTTGCTATTGAGCTATCAGTATTTATATAGCCCCTGCTAGTTTCTCCAGCACCATTGTGTGGTTCTCCTGTAACAACGCCATCATTGGTCATCATATCATGAGAGTCAGATCCTTCGGACATGTCAGACCTCTGGCATAGCAACTGCCCAATATTATTGCTATTCGTATCAGGAGTTCTGAATGACAATGAGCATTTATTAGAAATAGGGCATGAAGCCACAAAGAAATTAAAACCAAACATAAGACATACAACTGCATTTAAATATAAAATGAACTACAGAAATTTTTTCTATAAAATTTCAACCCACCTCCCTTGAAAATGAAGATTAGATGCTTGAAGATAATCAAAAACAGGAACCAAATCTTTTGACCTAACTTCAAGCATGTCAACAGGGATTCTTTCAATCTCAATCTCTCCTTTACGAGCATCTTCCTTGTCTTCATTAAAGTCATCAATCAGTAGCATGGAATGAAAACTTATCTGCCAAAAGAGAATGTGATAAGAAGAAATGTAAGGCATCACAATGATGGAGGAGCAAATTTGCTAAAACGCCATTTAAAATTTTATGCGACTGATCAAGTACCTCAGGTTTTGTCCACAATGGATTCTTATTTTGATGCATTTGCAACTCTGCCTCAGATATATACATATGATGCCTTTCATCAGTTGTGGTCTTATCTTTCATGGGTGCACCCACGACATCGGAACACACGCTATCTTCCCGTCTTGTCCTTTCAGGAAATACTTTCGCACAATCTAAATTTGCATTTTCACTATATACATCAATATCATCTGCCTGCTCCTTCCTGTTTAGTTTCTGGCAAATATCCCACTTTTGGATTGCCTTCACTACAAACCCTGCATCACCGTCTAGATCTGATTCACAGAAGGTACTCACTCCCGGTAAAGCTGTCACACTATTTAGCACAGCAGAGGTACCCAATGCATATTGTATCATACAACCAGAAGAAGAGAAAACAAGCAGGTAATAGTTAGTCTTCAGAGAATTGGCATGTCCATACACACCATAACCTCTGCAGTTATGGAAAGTTGAAGCAATAGCCCCAGGGAAAGAACTCATCTTCCCAGTAGCAGCTGCAGCAGCACCACTTACAGCATTTCTCCAACCGTTATTTCCATTTCTTATTCTGATAAGAGGAGAAAGTGAAATTGGGGACCCAGATGCACAAATATTTTGTTGTGTTAGAAGCTGAATCCCTGAATTTGGTGGCCCATGAACTGCAGATTTCTTCATCGAACTGTATCCACTGTTTCTAGCACTAAAACAAGCATCAGAGGACTGAATGCCAACCGAACCACCTGAAGGAGAAATAGCAAAAAGATGGCTTGTCCCTCTTAAAGAACTAACCATAATCCATCGGCTATCGCTGCTAAAACTAATGTCCTGTATGACCTAAGAAAGCATTATCAAACAGAAAGAATATATGATCAATCCCATTTACAGACAATACCATCCAAACATATGAAAAAAAAAAAACAACTCTTTGTTCTTACTGCAGGAGTGACACCACGTTGCAGCCTGTAAAGATGGACATAAGATGGGCCAGAAGCAGCTCCAGAAAGTTCTGGCATTATACGGAAAACATTAATGTTGTGACCCTGATCTGAAGCCGTCACTAGTAGGGTGCCACTAGGATCAAAGCACAACGATGATATAGGATGTTTGTGTGCCCTAAACTGGGCAACAACACTTTTGCTGACAACATCTTTGACAATGACCTAATGCATAAACAAGACACAAAATGAGGAAAAAATTATCTCAAATTGAAATATGCAAAGCACACACAAACGTAAGTTCCCTACACAAAATTATAAGGGTAAACACAGAATAACCAATACTGCACCTGTGATGCATAATAAACATTAATCAGATATTATTAATCCTATACCAATAGGACATCTTATATATCGCACCAAAACTGAGAAGCGAAGAAACATTCTAAGTTCGACAACAATTAAATTTCATAACTTGCAAAGCAGGTAACAGAAATTTGACAGACAGCAACAACAGCATATCACATTAAAAAAAATGGTTTCAACAAACCATAAAAAGATGCAAACTAGGGAAGAATTATATATACCATGCCAACACTGTCTGCACGAGCACTCCCTGAGTGAGAATTGTTGCCATCGGGCAACAGCTCAGAGTAGTACCTTGATATTTTCTTATAACCCATGTCCCCTAGCGTAACAATACCAGCAGCAAGTTGCCTACTTGACTCTTTCGCATAATGTGCAACAAGGCTTCCATTGGAAGCAGGACTAGGGAAACTAGCAGATGGGGAAAGATGCTGTGGACTCACTCGCCCTGAATTTGGAATGGTAACTGGATTTCCACTATAAGCCATCCACCTGGGACCCATTGCAAGGGGCCCGAAGCCTATACCTCCAGATCCACATTCACCGGTAACAACAGGATTTGTAAGAATTGTATACTGTCTCTCCAGCGTAGAAGCGTCGAGACAGTGTATCTGTATAAAACATATCTTATCAACATATCCTGACAACAAAAAAAAGGATAGCGAAAAATATAAAGTATAATTTTTTATGAATTTAAACATAGTGAAACACACCTGAGCTGATTGTAGAACAGCAACAACTCGAGAACTACATCTCACTAAATGAACAACCGACCTAAACCGTAAAAGATGTACATATGATTGTGATTGCAAAGAATAAAACCAAACTACCGTAGGCATACCACTACCATTAACGGAACCATGGTAGTTTTGGACCGGCCCATTACGAGAACCACCATAACCCTCCTGAATGTTGTTGCCTCCAGAAAACGATCCGTCAGCACAAATGATCAGCAATGGGCGACTATCAGCAAACTTGTCTACAGATTCCTTTGATGCTGTTGGGTTGGGTAATGCTTGCATAAATGAAACAAGACCATCATGCCTGGAAACCAGTTTGTGCACGTTGTCTGCTTCTTCAACATCCCAAACCTGGAAGCCACAACTGTAGCCGAGCAAGAGAACTTTCCTTGTGATGCCTCCCTTGAGTTCTAGTTTGTCAAATCCAGTCCAACAAACCTTCAATGGGTGGAAAGGTATAAAAATAATAAATCGTCTATACAAAATAGATCTAGAACACATGAAATCGAAATGCCAAATATCATATTAAGAATTGGGACACGTGAACCAATTATGGAAATAGTAACTATAGGAAAATACACGAGGTGATAGTCATAAAAATTAAGGATTCATAGCAGAGCAGCACAATTGTTCAGCAGTGAAATTTGGAGATGGTATAATTCAAGCAAAAAAAAAAGGCACAAGTTCTATAACATTGAAGCTTTAAACTTTATTGTATAGTATAGTCCATAGTTTTAAAACCGACCCGGACCCAGAGAAAGCACTAGGTCAGCAGCTCACCAATTCAACCGCTGTGTTAAGGGTTTAACTACTGAACAAATGTAAAATGAACATATAATAAACTATATTTTTAAAATAAAACGATCAATGTATAATATAAATATATGTTAAAAAAGTAAGCCATGTAATAAGTTAAAAACTGTGGTGATAAATAAAAATATAGTAATTAAAAACATTAAATGCTCAAATACTCAATTTTTAAATGCCAAGTAAGACGCACGTGCAATAGCTATATGATAGCGTAAATATAAAAAAAATCATTGGTCTTAAGCATTAGTTACATTAAACTTAAAACACTTGAAATGATAATAGGTGACAAAAATAATATTAAGAGATTTGATTCAAAGCTTATTTTCTAAACTTTGCATATGAAGGTTTCTCCGTTCTTTTTAAAAAAAGACGGCATAGATGATTAAGTGTTGATACCCTGCTAAAGAGATAATGAAGTTCAACATTTCCAACAAATTTTAAATCGCTTAAAACTAATATTTGTAACATAAAATACTGAATCAAACGTTAAAAAAAAAAAGCTTAGCCGAGTTTAGCCGTCAAGCCACTTGGCTTGTAAACAGTAACCAAAAATAATCAAACGTAAAACGACCAAAAAAAAAAGGAAAAACTTGCTTAGTCGAGCCGAGCCATTAAGCCATTTGGCTCCGCTCGACTTGGCTTATGAACAGTAACTTGGAAACTCACTCTTTTATGTATGTTGGATAAATGGTTGACAATAACAACCAATTTTTAGGTAGTGGCTTACATAACTTCTCAAACTGGTGCAGTGCACAAATTTTGCTTTCTTGAGCATGAGATCCCATAGTCAAAACTTATCGGGCACTGGAAGCCTAATATTTTTACTAAAGGCCATTTCAGATCTTGGGTTTATTTACCCACCGGATTCAGTCCCATCCACTCGTAGTTTAACTGGATTTTGAATAGCTATTTGCAGGTATTGGTCTAATATAGCCAACCGGGACAGATTACAGGCCGGTTCACCAGTTTCAAAACTATGGCATTGTCATGATTAATTTATTTTCATGTTTTTTGTGAATGAGTCCTTGTGTCCTTTACACCTTCAACAGCTGTTTGGATGTTGGTTACCTGACTTTATTAGTTTACTTCTGCTTTCACTTTGATGACTTTGTATCAAAATTTTTTTTTTCTTGAAAGGACAGAATACTTGTAAGTAAACTTTGAAGTGGATCCAGACCTATAATCCTTGCCATGACGAGAAGCACTGTAGTAATTAGGATGTCTGCTCATGTAACAATGGTATTAATTGATTCGAAGAAATTATTTATGGATTATATGTTGTTCTTTCGCCAGTAAAGTGTTATTATTTAAGTCACTGCAATTTATACTGTATCTTATGATTAAATTCTATTAACAATTCCCTAAAGCAAACTTTCAAGTTGAATCCTGAACTGATAACCTGTCAACCCTACAGGCGAACATAATTAGCTTGATTCTTGAAAACAATTCAGAATACTTTTAGGTGACTATTAAATTTGGAATTTACTAGGAATCTGTTTAGTACATTGTTAAGGGTAGTTCAGGTCCTTTACGACATGCATTACGCTGCGGAAGTTTAATTAACGCTTTCTTCCCTTTAGTTTTTATTTTATCAATGAAAGAGCATGAATATTGAACAGCTAGTGTCTAAAACGCCTTATTTTAATGAAGAAATGATATGTTAACATGTCTGTTCACATAATTATACACAAAATATGAAAGAAAACCACAACTTCAAAAATAACCTACCTCGGGCATAGATCAAAACCTTAAGTTGTCTTAAAGAAGGTAAATTTTTTTTTTTTTTTTGATAGGCAATCACGTAATTTTATAAATCAAATTCAAAAGATAATACACAAGGAGTGCATTATCAGTTTAAACAAGCTAGAAACGATAAAAAGTTCGGCAACTCTTCTATCGGACTAATAGTTGCAGCTTTAAACCAACTATACATAATTGCTCTGTCGTCCGTATTTGGCCTTCAAAACATCTTCCGTTTCGTAAAAGAAGGTAAATTAACCAAAGGGAGAATCTGCATGGCCTTAGTATACAACTTATAAGGGTGCTGTAAAGTTCAAGTGCAACTGTCAGGCAGGCAATCGCTTCTAAAACATAGAATAGACTAATAGAAGGCTTAAGTGATGAACCAATGAATGAAGTTTACCATTTGAAACAGAAAAACCTTAGAGATGGAATCCCTTCAGTTACACCACTAATGAGAGAATTCTCATCCTATGAAACTGGGAAAAAAATTTAATACTAAGCAAGAGAACAGAAAGGGAATACCATCAATTCTCTTGAGAATTCTTACACAGCTCATAGCTATTCAATTGAAACATAGTGGGATTTTCCGAAATAATACTACAGAGATCCTCTTTATAATTAAAAACTGACATATCACTGCTCGTGCAAAAGTCAAAGAAAACATTCACCTCCCAGAGCAAATGTTAAATCATATGACCCTCTTTTACACCCTAATGTCATGAAGCCAGTAACAAAAAGTTATTTACTGCTAGAAAATGATATTGTCGGACTGCAAGAACAAACACGCTAAGTCTTTCAAAAAGTTGCTGAAGTTTAATCAATTATGCAACCATGGCATAATGGTGAAACTGCTGGTTAAGACCACAAAAGAAGCAACACTATCATAAAACACCAAAACATTCGTTGCCTTCCACTAAAAAATTAAGGTAAAAAACTGTGGAAATACAACTATTTTTTCAACAATAATTGCAGTAACAAAGCAAGGGGACAAACCTTTTCAGCAGAGTATGAACACATTGTGCATACAGCTATATCCTAAACTGACCGTTTTCATCGGTTACTTTATTCCAGGATATCCTACACTTTTAACATGTCCCAGATTGATGTGGAACCATTTCCATCACATAAAGCCCCTGTTTGGCCCCCCATGTTATATTCAACCACACATTTCACGGAACCAACAACTTATATCAACTTTTATAAAAAATATACTAAAAATCTATTCTATATCTCGTCAAGTTTAAGTTTTACTCAACTAAACCAACAGGGAGGGAAAAAAAATAAAGAAATAACAATTTCAGCATATTCACAGGTCAAAAAACTCCAGACATAAAAGGAATCCCTGGGAAATCAAAACAATGTCCTTGCATTTGCCAGTCTCAAAATGTTTAACAAACCCACAAAAAAGTCCAGTCCTTTTGTTCGATGACTAAGACCTATTTGGCAAATTTATAAGTGGTTTACGAAGAGGAATAGCAGTGGATTCCACGAAATGTGTAGATAATGAGTAGTAATTATAAATGTGAGGTTGAAAATTGAAATTATTATTTGACTTTGATTGAATTTCTACACCATTTATAGATTTGCATCCAAACGGAGAGTAAGTTGTTCCTAGAAATGCACACACTGCTGCATGCAAAACCTCGTTGCCACTTGCCATAATTTGTCTTCACCAAGGATTAAGAGGAAAAATGGTGAAAACAAAAAAGAAAAACTTTTAGAAATCAAACACGAAACATAAATATTCAGATTTGAAACAACCAAGTTTCCATCTAAACCCAAACTGAATCATAGCAGTCAAAAATCTCATCTAATACTAGCACATAACTATCTATTTCAACTTTATTTCCAACTAAACAATCTTTTTCCCTTTATGAATATAAAGATTTTAAACTACAAAAACTCCATTTTCCAGTTTCATGCAGCGACTCAATTTCAGCAAATCAAGCAGTCAAAAAGAAGCTAAAAGTTTCGAACTTTTGTCTAGAACTTTCCGTTGAGGTAAAAGCCTCACCTGATCTTGGGAGGGCACACCGTCATTGTCCACCATAGATGAAGCTGCAGAGGCAGCAGACCTCACGGTGGATGCCACGCTCGAGGCTCCAGAGGAAACAATCTTCCAGTAGCTGGAAAGAGACTTAATGGATGTCGGAATGATCCCATTATTGCCCCGACCAGATTGCAGCATCCCTCCGCTAACAGAACCGCCACCACTTTTCTGGCTATCATTCCTCATCACAACCCCCAACTAAGCTAAAAACCAACAAGGTAAAACACGCACTCAGCAGTTTAGCCCTTTCACCTCTCAAACCAATAATGATCATAACCTCAGTAAATTCATCCTTTATAAGAATAAAACAACCCTAAAAAAGATTAATGTTTTCAGCTCACGGGCGTCTCCATCGTCAGCTTACAACTTACAACTCCAAAACCATCCAAATACCATGCAAATCGCAACAAAAAAACGGTTCAATTGCACAGCCCCTGTCGTCTGCAGTTTTTTTTTCCTCTTTTTCCCCTCTACTTTTCCATCAATCAGATAAAAAAAAACCAAAAATAAATATTAAAACCGGTAGTTCTATAGTTTCTGATTGCAAATTTGAATAATACAAAGCAACAAATTCTTCAAAAAATCATTTTTGTTGTATGTAATTTTTAGGTATAAACAAAACACCAACCCTAACTTGAAACAAAACGGTAAAAATAAATTGAAAGAATTTGTACAAGGATTGAACAATTATACAAAGAATATATACAAATTGAATCAAGAAATTTAAAAGCTTCTTTAAACGAATTAAATTGTTAGGTTTCGAATATTTCGATGATCATCGAGATTAATTGATTGGTAGAGAGAGAAAGTAATCTGCGTGTATATAAATACTGTAAATGTAGAGAGAGAGGGGAAGATTGAGCGATCGGATAATAGGAGAAGCGAAGACATAAAAACTCTCTGTTTTACGTCTCTTTCTCTCTCTATAATTTAATAATTTAATTTTTTTTTTTGTATTTTCGTTTTTTTTTGTCGTTGAAAAAAAGGCAACTACTCTGCACGTCTTCTCCTATACCAAATAGTCAAAACACTATTTACCACGTCGCGAAATGGTAAAAATATTTCTTTGCGGAGAAAGCGTTTTGATTGTGAATTTCTCGGCACTCGCGAGATGGTTTGCTCGTAAATGAGAATATACCATAAGGTATTTTCAAAATTGGATTTGAATGGCTTTATAATGGAAATAAAGATAAATAAATTTTGTTACGTACTTATCTTTTTTAATTTGGTCAATCAAATTAGGTCCATGTTTGGTAGAGAATTAAAATCATATTTTTAGTAGATTTTTATAAAAACTGATGAAATTTGTGGTTAAAAAAACGTGGATCTTATGAATGTAGTTAAAATTAAGCCCCTGTTTGTCTACCATTATTCCAAAAAATTGTTTGATACATCATATTTATGCAAGTCAATGAATTAATTTTTATTTATGAATTTTTTCTTTTGCAATTTTCAAATCTTTCAAGACGGAATCTTTTAATTAACAGCTCTACACACGTTTACATCTGCGCCAATTTGCCAATGCAATTAATAGACCAAATTTTTGGTTATCTCAGCAAATTATCATTTTCTCAATTCTCGCATAGGACGGGAGCAAGATATCTTTCTTTACAACTGTGAAACATTACATTGATTTATACCTAAAACATGTCTTCCTTTAGTGACAACTAACATCAATTTTGTTAGAAACAACTAGGTCGGATCATCATTTAGGACGACCAAGTTAGTGAGAGTGATAAAAGAATGTGTGTAAAAAATATGAAGTTGACAAAAATAATGTGTAAGAAGAAGCTATTGATAAAACTTACACGCTTTGAACAACATGCCCATAATTGATGAGGTTGAATTCTCATTTAGAATCCGACAGTCGAGTTAGTGAGAGTGATAAGAACGTGTGTAAAATATATAAAGTTGGGCAAAAAACATGCAAAAAAAATACTGGTAAATTGAGGCGCGTCTATCTATAAGACTAAGTTGTGGATGACATGTCCCATAATTGATTATGTGTGAATGATACTCCTAATTTCACGGAGTGAACAAATGAAATGGATGTCACTTGTCTCAATACTGTAAAGATTTTGAAAGATCTGTCTAAACTTTTACTGCTCGATCAACTTATCAAACAATTAGATAGTCTTTCATCATAGACAAATTCATATTTAGTTAAGCTTGACGTCTTGCATTCTATAACTCGAAAGATGTTGAGTTTCTTGCATGTGTTCACCGTTCTACCTTTTTGACTGATTATTAACGTAATTGTCAAGGTTTGATTCGTCTAAATTAAATCAACCTATTAATTTAGGTGCTCGCTGAAGTAGGTCTAATCTCCAACTAGTTGCAACGGAGTATTTTAAGACCCCTCTCTAATTTTTCTTATTTCCTTTCTTTTCTAAGCTCCTGTTTGAGCCACATTTTCATTTACATTCTTTTACTCATTTTCAATCACACATTCTTCGATAAAATAATATTTTTTATCACATCAATAATTTTTCCTTCTTTTTCAACCACATATTCACCACCACGTCACAAAAAAAATGTATTCTCTCCTAAAAAATGTACATCAAACAAACTATAAGAATGATTGATGAATTAAAGTTTTTAAACATGTTATAAAGAATATTCTAATGTCTCGCGATAAAACGTGAAAATGAGTGAGAACCGCGCTTCAATGTGGATGGAATTGCAATGCATCATTTTCAATTGTTCCCACCGCCACTATGTATTATTGTAACTATCGATTGGACATGTATCTATCTGTATCTATTTATATTTTATTATTTTTATTAAATATACAATTTTTATTTCTTCCACTTTCATAAAAATACATATTTTATAGACTTTAAATGTTCTCTCTTCCTTCTTTGCAAACCAATAGAAAGTAAAATCACGACAAAGATAGAAACGTCATGAATATTATTTTATTTTATTAAATATCAACTATTTGAGCATGTTAAGTGGAAAAAAATGAATAAATTAATTCAATCTCTGTAAACAGAAATGTAATTATCAAGATAAAGCCAGTCTGTCATTTATTTATAAAAATTATGTACATATTAAATATTTGATTAAAAAAATATTGTCTCAAAACAAAATAATTTATTTTATAGTTTGCTATATGATCATTTTCAACTATACGTTCACACAATAAAATATTCTAAATGTATACCGACAATTTTCTCTACTTTTTAATTACACATACTTCTGAAAATCATTATTCAAAACTATTTTTTCTACCAGAATAGTTGTCGAATAGTCTTAGATGAGATAGTCTCGAAATTCGTTATTTGAATAGTTTGACAAAGATACCCTCTCCTAACCGCATGTACTGGTAAAACAATTTGTTGCTTTAATCCACATTACAAGATATTAGCTAACTTAGTTATCACATTCTCGTGCTCAAACCACCACTTGAATCATATAAAAATTTTAATTAATGGAAATTGTAATTGGAAGTCAAGCTTAATTCAAGCCTGATAAGTTTTCAAGAACATATAAAGAATAATTGGTGAAATTCTTGTAAACGTACGATACAAGAAGGAAGTTTTATTATGCGATAAAAGTAACTTTGTAAATTATGTAAGTAAACTTAGTGACTAAAAGTTTACTTACTTTTAAACACTTCTGCACATAATTGAATATGTATTGAAGCTTGTTTTGTGGATCTCGACCTACCCCTCCAGTGTATAATGATTTGAAGACCTGAGGTTTGAGTTGCAAACTATGCATGTCGATTAGGGCACAACCCAAATTACCTGACAAATATATGCAGAATCTTCTGGTGCCAAACTACAGCATGCCCAAAAGTCAAAAGATTGTTATTCTTTTCTTCATCAAACCAAAAGGCAAAACATCAATGGTTCAATTTTCTTTCTAGAAATTGAAAAGTCATGTTCTTTTATTATTATTATCTCGTCTTCTGGTTTCTGTCCTATCGCAACTCAATCGTGGTATGGGAAAAGAATTGTGAATTGTGATCGATGAAGAAGCTTGACCGCAAAAATATCAACTCATATCCAAGTTGGGACAATAAATTTGAACTCGACTATTTCGTCCCTTCACCTTTACTCTTATTCGGACCGGCCCCCAGAATTATGGATGAAAACTCCTCACTATCTCACAGAAAAATCTAATGTCCCCTTGCAACAAGGAAAAACAGCGGTGGAGAAATTTATGGCTTTTTCCTCGATGATAAGCCGCAATCAGCATGTGTGTGGAGTGGAAAAAGCTGGCCATGTTGTATTTTGTAGTCTACTGCGACACTTTAAACCCGTTTTCAGCAAAATTGCTAGTCGGGCAAGTCCATCGGGCTGAGGAGTCTAGGTCGACTAAAATTGGCCCACCAATATCTTACAAGTCCAGGTCCCGTCCAGACCTGGCCCAGACCATTTTCAATAGATGCTAACTGGACTGATCAGTACCCGTGGAATACTGCAGGCCAGAACCGTTCTGGTAAGACTTTTAACCAGCCAGGTCTAATCGATCCTAGGCCGCCCTGCCCATTTTAACACCGGTATTCTTGAGGACAGCAAGGATGACATTACTTTTCCGCTCAACATAAACAAAGTCTTTCAGTTTTCCGTTTTCTCCTACTTTTCACTTATTCTAACACATTATGTCAAATTTTACGTAGCGATTACAAATGGTTCGACTTTCGAATACGATAACTTATATTCTGCGAGTCCATTGTTGCATACTCTTATGAAATTCACTTGCTATGAAACTTTGGTGCTTCTATAAGCATATAGATTTTACCAGAGAAGAGACAAGATGACCCAAATTTAAATATATGTATTGCACCCAACTTGTTTTCTTGTGTAACTAAATAAATTATGCAGCAGGATGTTAATGTGTCGCTGCAACCCAAGATTTCCATCGTTCAGATGCTACTTACAATGGCTTTCTAATTCTTAGTAGAAATTTTCAGCTGCAGATTCGTTTGTTGTAATACTCCATCAAGCATGACTTGCAGAACTTCAACCCATGGAACCCGATATAGTCAACCATGGAAGTGTATTTCACACCTTCAATGGCACTTCTCCTCCGGACATTTTCAAGAACTTGCTACGACATCCCAGCGCCATATTGTCCCATCCTCACAGCAGCAAAGAATGGTGCTGCAGCACACAGAAACAGCTGGTTATATGCTCCAAGATTATACACGATATGTAGATGTCAAACAAAGAAAGCAAATCCATTTGGGAGTTTTTACCTTCCATCAAAGGACATTGCGGTCTGTCTAATTGCAGATTTTGATTGCACATGTGATAGCCTGAGAAAGCAAGAGTATGTACATATCAAATAAAACATGATCCAGATCACTTGTTGCGTGTGTCAGGTTAAGGAACAAGTGTATAATCAAGGAAGCAGACCTTGAAATGAGGACAGGTGGGCTGGACTGGATTTCCCAGACGTATATTTTTCCTTCCCTATTCCCTGGTACATTTATAAGAGAGAAAAGTAAGGATCGTTGTAGTTCTTCTATTTCGAGTAACTCTTATTCTGTATTATTATTAATCAGATACACATCTTACAATATCCAGACTGTATGCAATTTTTAGAATCCTGCGCACTCAAATGCATGCAAAAATGGAAACCAGACAAGAAAATGCAATGGTCCAATAATCACTTCAGTACAAGTGACCATTGATTACAATGCGTCGAAAGGCATAACATGAATAACGGGTAAAACATAAAACGAGTATAATATATAAAGCTTGGAACTACCTATAGCTGCTGCTTTATAATGGAAATCACAGGAAAACTTGATGAACCAAATGTCACATTCTGGAACAGGATACTTTTGGAGAATATCAACAGAGCCCTAGACAAAAATTACACAAGTTATTAAATGATTCAGCATATAGGATCAGGATTCGCAACACCAATAAAAATCAACAATATATGAAAATATGAGACTCCAAACAACGTAATCTAACCTCTCCAGGAGATTGCTCTTTCATTTTTGGTTCCCACAGTACAATTTCGTTGTCAACACTCTGAAAGTTAACATGAAAAGTGATGCCAATTGCACAAAGAAGTAATCTGAATTCCAATTTCCGCAAAAATAAACAGTCATGCTAAATAACTTCAAGTACCAATTAAAATCTACACTAAAAAGTAGCACATTTTATCGTACTTCTTTTGGAATCTCTGTAATAGTAGAAATTCCTTACGATCCGTTGCTCACTGAGTTTATACAGAACTATAGAAGCCACTTTCAGAAGCATGATAGAAATATGTTATGCCAAGGGAATTTGCTCAGTACTTTACAATTAATTCATTACTGGTGAAAAGCTAAACATGACATTATGTTGATACGGGCCGGAAGAAATCAATCGTAATTTTAATTCCAGGAACACTGATAGAAACCAAAAAATCAGTTCCATTATCGAATGTGAGAAAGGTCAGAGGTGATGTTACAGAATGGTGAAAAATACCTTAGAGAGAATGAAATCACCAATCCAACGGTTGCAGTCGACATAGTTCGTATGCACCGATGCAATAAATGTCTGATAAGGAAAGATAAATTCAAATACAGCTTGAAACATAATTCATACTGAAATTTAGGGGAAAGGAGAAGAGGAAGAAGATATTACTACTCACTGGGAACTGTACGTATTTTGTAGGGAACTTGGAAGGAAGATCTGTCCAAGTAAACGATTTCTCTACGTATGTCCAGAATTCTGTAGTGGAGTAAAATTTATTAAACAAAATACCAGGCTAAATTGACATTTTTTCAACTAGCATTGTAGTTTAACTATGGAATGATGTCAGCAAACAACTATAAAATGCACCTTATGACAGTTTAGCCAATTATTGGAAATTTAAAAATCACTGATGGTAAGATCAACTGCATGCTTAATAATGAAATTTCTAGTAACTAATAACAAATTGCAAGGTTGAAAGTTGGAAACTTACAACTTCAAGCAGATGAGATGCAAATCATATGCAAATGAGACAATTCTAAGAACAAAAGTGATCACATATTACCAGCAAGATGCTTGACAGATGAGTAAACTAAAACAAGTTTCTTAACAACCGTCATGTGCTCATCCCAAATTTCTTTTAACACAGAAAAGCAAGAAGAATAGATATCTACCTTTTCATTCCGATAGACGAAACACTAAAAGGTTTAATGCTCAAACTGGATCATCAGATTATAAAAGAGAGATTAAAGATAGAGTTCAAATTAAAATTTTGATTTATCTAATCAGCTCATTAACTATCCCTCCGAACCAGTACCTCATTCATTATTTTCAAATGCCAATAAAATGTATTGCATGATGTAAGAGAAAAACGGTGATTAGGAAAGCCAATTTTACCTTTCATTGACCAGATCTTAACAGTGTTATCCATACCACAGCTTGCAATGCGATGCATGTCAGAAGGATGGAAATCCTAGAATGGAATCACCAAAACAATATAAGATGCTTAAATTCTTACCAAATTTAACCTATGAAAATCACTGCAAGAGACTAAAAGCATGGGAAGTGTTTATTCCTTCAAAAGATTACAGGAACAAACAACGAAGTGAATATTGCATGAAAACTATACGACCTCAACGTACCACACTGAGAACTTCATTTCGATGACCACCGGCACCAGCAAATATCAAAATGCATATTCCAGTATGAACATTCCACAGCCTAACAGATTCATCCTGAAAAAAATCTTCATTACTATACTAAATCTAACACGAAATTATGAAACGCAACCTTTTCTCATTCTATTGATTGATTGCAAAAGATAAATAGATCATCTTTCATCTACCTTTAAAGATAGAACAATATAAGCATTCATCATTCTAGTACAAAGGTGAAATGCCCAACAAGCTAATCAAAGAATTTAGTCACTTACTTTACTTGCTGATACCACAAGTGAAGGTTTAAGTGGCTGAGTCTTAATCTCGTTTATTGAGTCTCCATGACCGACAAAACTCTGCATAGTTAAGAATGGTTCAAGATCAAAAGGAAATCAAGCATGTTTACTCCCAAGTGTTCCTATATCTAATTACAATTGCATGCATGAGGCGTTTGTCAACTAGAAGATGTTTTTGGTGCAATAGATGTCTGCTGCAACCAGACAGTTCTCGGTATTTCTTTCTTTTGCACTTATCCCTAATTTGATCCTTGTATACAACAATCTATCAAACGCTAGATAAAATAAGAAAAACAAGCACTACCACAAGCATGACAGACCTTGTATATCTTCTCGCTGCCAGCATCAATAACCCGGATAACTCCATTGAGTCCTCCGGCTACTAAGAGTGGGGTTCCATCAATATTGCACGCCCAACTAACAGTGTAAAACGACTCATCTTTCTGTCTACAAAGCATATGGAAAAACCAAATTCCATATGAGAATATGCAGATGTGACATACTAAATGTTTTAAATCACTAGACAAGAACACAAATTCCTTACATCTTCATCAATGTATGATTGCAGGACAGCTATAACGCCACCCTCCAGGCATTGGTATACAGTCACCTGAAAAAGAAAATGTCAGATGCAGCATCAAGAATGATTCAAGTGGCAAATGCAATTTACTATGTATATATGTTAACAAGGCCCTACTATGTCTCAACAGATGTTCCAAACTTCAAGTCCACATAATTTTACTGAAGGCCACATTACAAAATATTACATCGAATTCAAAATGCAAGATTTAACCTTTAATGTTCTTCTCTGAAGAAATATAGCTTCCATTTTTTCGTTCAGTTTTTCACAATACTCATACCTTTGTTTACCGATGGAGAACTGTAAACTAATTGTTGTTTAAGAGATTTGAGTTTGAAAATAAAGTACAATTGTCAAAATCACATATCAAATCCACATAAATATTTTGTATGTTTCGTACTTTTGATTAAGGATCCCAAACAATAAACACGCTAAACACTAGTTTTATACATCAACAGAACCTTTTCAGACATTGTGGTTCTCCTTTAGGAATTTTTCTAACAATCAAGACCAAGAATAACCTGATTTTTAGTTTTTTTTCCCTCAAAATCGTGACATCTATTTTACCCTCTCTAAAAATATTCCAGTCAAAGCAGCTCATCTAACAGGCTAACTCAAACACCCTCTATTAGCCCGACTCATCTAACTCAACCCTCTGGATCACGAGGAGTAGACGCCATATCCGTACATGTATATGTTTTCTTCTCTTCTCTTCTCTCACTTCTTATTCTCTGTTAACAAGTACATACAAAAATTGAAATTCTAAATAGAATTTATTACTTACATTTACACCCTTCCAAATAGCATTAGTTAATTTTCATTTTCTCTAGCCTTTGGTTCCTCTATTAATTTCCATTTTCCCTTAACATATAACATGCTAAAATTGAAAAAAAAAAATAAAAAAATCAGTAACCTAAATTCCACGAGTGTCAAAAAATTGATGCCCAAAATTGAAGCAAAATCTAGTAGTAAAACGAAGACAAAAATGTAAATTACTTACCCTATTGCCGCCGGCGGTGGCGAATACGTTGAAGTAACGGGAGTCGATGAAATTGAAGACAACGGCGTAAATTGGACGTTTGCCTTCTTGGAGTCTGTTTGTGACTCTGTACTCCCTCTTCTTCGACGGCGTTAGGGATCCCACCACCGGTTCGCAACCCAACGAGATTTTCGCCATTGATGATCGTTTTTCACTCACCCCCGACGCCCGTTAGCTACTATTCTTCGCCTTGCTGCTACTGCCTGCCTGCTTACAAGAAGAGAGTCATCGGCAGGGTTGAGGGTATACTATGTCCCTCTTTTTACATTTAGGGTGAGTTTAGAAAATTAGGTGGAAAAAGATAATATTTTTCAAATTCACCCAATTAATAGTGTTTGATTTTGATTGCAAAAGTTTTCTTGACTTTNAAAAATTATCACTTTAGTGGATAATTTTCATAAAAAATGAAGTCAAACGGACACCAAATTTTCAATATTTTCTATGTGGAAAATTATACCAATCAAACACAATTAATTACAATTTCCAATAAAACAATTTCTAGGCAATTCAATTCCCAGTAAAACATTTTCTTTCCATATTTGCAATCAAACAGACCCTAAATTATTTTTCTTTTTTAATATATTGATGCAATAGATTAATTTAAATTTATCTTTAAATGTCACTCTAATAAAGAAAAGAAAAATAAAATTTCTCATCTAAAGTTTATTTAAGTCACGTTAAATTTAGATAAAAATTAAAATTTTTCACATTTCATTGCTCAAAATGTTTTTTTTATCCATTTTCTCAATTAAAAATTGTGAAATAGCGAAAATACCATTCCCTTTAAATAAAACAAAATGAAAAAGAAAAAATTAATTACAAATATAGTCCCAACTTTTTTGAAAAGAGCAAATGATTCCCAAATAAATTATTAAAAAGGGTAATTAGCACATAATGTCCATATATTTCACTATTATTACAAAAAACGTCCATACTTTTTATTTTTTTGGCATTTTCTCACTTGATTATAATTTGATAGCGCAAATCATCATTTATATCAATTTTCATTCAATTTCTTAATAAAAAATAATGGATGACGAATATACCATTATATTTAAATAAAAAAGCTAAAAAATTAATTGCAACCACAGTCTTAATTTTTTAAAAAAGTACAAACGGATCCCCAATAAATTATTAAAAAAACTTTATTTTTTTATGAAAAGTGCAAACGAGTATTAATTAAATTTATTTAAAAATTTTAAAAATTAAAAAGTGCAAATGAGTTTAAAATAAATTATTAAAGAATTAGAAATTAAAAAAAATATTTTTTATTTAAGTACAAGGATATATTCATTAATACACAGTTTTTTATCGAGAAATTGAATGAAAATTGATGGAAATATGTAATAAGGGTAAAAATGTCAAAACAATAAAAGGTATGGACGTTTTTCGCAATAAATGTGAAAAATAGGGATATTAAGTACTAATTACCCTTTTAAAAATTTATTAGTGACTTATTTGAGCATATTAAAAACTTTGGGACTATGATTGCAATTAGTATTTATCTTATCTTTTTGTATCATTTAATATATTTGAGACTCATTTGCGCTTTTCAAAAAAATTGAGACTATGATTACAATTAGTTTTTTTCTTTTGTTTTATTTAAAGAAAAATGTATTTTCGTCATTTCACAATTTTTAATTTAAAAAATGGATGAAAATGACTTTTTGAGCAATAAATGGTGAAAATATCAAAAAATGAAAGGTATGGACATTTTCCACAATAACAATAAAATGTGGGGACGTCATGTACTAATTACCAAAAAAAAATCTCATCTAGAGTTTATTTAAGTCCCGTTAAATTTAGATAAAAATTAAATTTAATAGAATAAATAATTTTAAAAATCATTATTAACTTTAATTTAAATTTTATTTTATTTTTTAAAATGAACCAAATAGGACTTAATTATATATTAAATACGATAACTCAACTCTAATAAATTTTACTTTTTTTAAATTATTTTTTGAGCTCCATTTTTTTTTTTTTCAAAATGTAATTTGTAATAAAATTTTAATGAAGAATGAATAGTTAAAAAATAGGGGAAAATATATGATTAAAAATAGGAGAGATAAAAATATATTTTACAAATATTATGGATCAAACTACGGTTAATAATCAAATAAAATATCTTCTTATTATGGGCTCCATTTACTCCAAGATATTATGCCCAATTGGAGTCTCTACTCCTCTAGTCCTTGGTCTATCTAAAGAACAAAGTGCCTTATCCTCTTCACTTTTCATGGCTTCCACTGTCCTTCAACTTCTCCATCATCCACACCCTTCTCCATTAATTTACCCCAGCTCAACCCAAACACCTGTAAATTCATTATTACATATAATCAGTTCACCCCCAAGGAAATTCTCAATCAAATGCTCTACAAACTCAACACCTGAACCTGATTTTCCTCTTCCCCCTCCAGGTTCTGAAACAACCATCAGCCCTGAGAAGTTTCCTATAGAAAAACGAAGAAGATCGGAGATTATACGCGAAAGAAAGTCGAGAACTGGCATTGTCAAACCTGAGCCACCAAATTTCGAGATAGGATGGAAAAGAACTAAGCCTATTCCACTGGAGAAGCCTACAGGGTATGTGATAATGGACTTTTTAGAAAAGCTGCTAGAATTGATGGACAAGGAATTTGGTTCGACTGCACTGTTGGCGAAGGTCGGGGAGATTGTGGCAGAAAGAGCAAGAGAAGAAGCTGAAATACTGAGAGATGAAGGGAAAGTTGAGGACAGAATGGTGACTGAATTGTTTAGAGTTTTGAAGCTAGTGGAAATGGACTTGGCTATGGTTAAAGCTGCAGTGAAAGAAGAGACACTAATTGAGAGACTTCAACAGGCAAAGGCAAGATGTAGACAGGCAATTCTTGTAGCCAATTCTTTTTGAAATGCTGTTGACAATGAGAAAAATATTGAGGGAAGGAACAATCATTGGCGAGATTTGAGACGGATTGAAGTTAAAATCTTGTTCATTTTACTGTTGAATCTTTCAGCATGTCGAATATACTCCGAGTGTGCATCGTAGCACTAGTTGATGCTTTCGGAAATTTGTTTTTGGTAATGGCATGCTAACTAATTTACTTCGAAAATTATCTAGCTCATGTCCCTCCAAATTGACCATAAGGGTTGATGAAGGTAAATTATGCCACAAGAGTAGCTCATGTTAAGGCAACACGACAAGGAGTCTTAAGTTAGGCATAAGAGCTAACATTAGCCACATAACTTAAGCCCTCACATAACACAAAGATGCTAAGCTCAGTGCATCACATAGCACAAAATTTACACACAAAATATCTGCCCATTAAACCTTGCAAAACTTACAACAAAACCACCAGCAGACCAGAAAACAGCAATAGTCGAAGGTGGCAACTACGCTCCGGTGACCCGGATTTCAGTTTAACGCCTTTCTTTTTGACTATCTTACCAGAATCGTTCACCACGACACCAGCTCCGACCACCAAATTGTGTCTCTTGGTATGCCAAAAAATGATTTTGAACCTCACCTTGGTGGATAAACCCACTCTGAAAACTGAGACATTCCCATTTGAAACATTTTTCAAAGCCGCCTCCCACGACTGTCCATGAGCCTCCACCACCGATTTCCAGTGAGCTTTCTTGCCGTGACCTTGGTGAAATCCGGGCACCGTGTAGTTGGCTATAGGATAGCTAGTGTTTGGATCGTAAAAAAAGGTTAAACTGATGTTATCATAGTACACTCCCTTCTCTTTCATTCCATTATCGAGCTTGAGGTCGAAGAATATGCTGTTATTGTTCCTATTACCTATCGAACGATCGGTTTTTTTAAGAATAGGCACGTATAAATCTTGAATGGAGCACGTTGGTTGGGAGGTACGTAGAGCTAGCCACAAAAACAGAGCAGCGAAGCCGGATGTTATTATAAAGCGGCAGCATATGCTGCTACAAGGCCCACATCCACCGCCCTCACCATTGTCAGACATGTCAGAAAAGCTATTTTTCGGTGATCAACGGCGAAAAGTCGTTGACTTTGTTAAACAATTGACTTGGGAAGTTGAGAGTTCGAGGAAATGATCAAAAAGATATATACAGAGTATTTAGGTTGGTTTCCTGGAAGAGACAGAAGATTTTTTGTGTTTTTCCTGTACCGCGTAACATGGGGTCTATGAAAGAGGATTCGCTCAATAAACAAACTAGATGCTTGTAACTTTTTTATTACTGATATCATTACCTTTTCATTCAAACAAACAGATGCATAAAGAACTAATAAATCTGAATCAGAAAGAAACCATATCAAAATTCCCAAATCAAGAAACCCAAACTCGATTTTCATATCTGAAAATGCAAAATGAAACCGACGAGTTAGATAATTTTTAGGTATGTGATTTGTAATGGCTACAGAAAACTCTGAATCCATTTAGTTGTTTCATACAATAGATCAGATTAGAGCGATTCAAAGACACAGAACTATAAACCATCTCATCTTAATCGTGTTGTTTGAATGGATCTCCATATTTGAATTAAATATGTTAAATAAATTAAAATATAATCGGTGAACACAATGACATATCGTTCACGATATTCGTGAAATACTCGATTCATCAAATCCATGAATATTCCAGGAACATTAGTTAAATCAAATGGCATATCTAAGAACTCATATTGATCATATTGCATCCTGAAGGCCGTCTTCGAGATGTGACTAGCTTAGATTTCAGCCGATAATAATCGAACTTAAATCAATTTTGGAGAAGACTGTTGCACCTCGAAGTTGGTCGAATAAGTCCATGATCATGGGGATTTGGCATTTGCTTTTAATAGTCTTGTTCAACTCCAAGTAATTGATGTACATCCTCATCGACGCATTCTTCTTAAACTCCTCACGGTGATATACTAGGTTGGATGAAGTCATTATCCAACAAATGTTGCAGAGATTTCAACTTTTGAAGTTCTTTCGGTGTCATCCCATGTGGTGCTTAGAATATTGGGGCATCTCTAACGAACATAAACTCCGCATACTGAAAATTATGTGAGTCGAGATAAGAAAATACTTCTAAAAATTCGTTAAGAGTTTCTAAAGCCATTCCTCAACTTCTAATGGGTCACACTTTTTTTTTTTAATTATTAGAGAAGATAATTTGTAGGAAGAATGAGGGAGAAAGCTCACCATCTCGACTCCACTGAATATAATGCAGAAATATAGATCTTGACAGGTATCAGGAAGATCGATCAACAAAGTCTAGCAGAGGATTATCCTCTAAAATCAGACTGCAGCTGGTTCCCTCAGCATCCCAATTGGTGACAGAGTGATCCCAAGGAACTTTTTGAATCCTGCCTATTTTATAAAAGTTTTAAAAGATGAATTCCATAAACCAACAGTGTAGCGGAATGGAACTAGATTACATAATTTTTATCAATTTTTTAGTCACATATTTCATTAATTTTTATCAAAATTTATTTAAAATATTAGTTTAGGCAAACTAAATAGGGCATACGTGATAATATAGACTGGAAAAAAAGTGGCAGAATAGTCTCGCCACAAATTGTCAATTCTAACTTCCTAAGCCGTTCATGATAAAGCCCAGGGACAGACCCATTAAGGAGACAGGAAAAAAAAGTGGCACAATAGTCTCGCCACAAATTGTCAATTCTAAGCCGTTCATGATAAAGCTTAAAGCCCTCTTTGAACGACGTTCTTGAAAAAATTATTTTTCTCCAACTCATTTACAATTATACATTCTTCTAATAAAATAATTTTACACGTAAATCAAAGAAAAAAAAACTTTTTCTCCAGACAATGGGGGCTCGAACAGGGTGAAATGTTTTGTCCCGTTTGACATGACTTTAAAAAGTTAAAAAGAGTTTTTAAGATTCAAAAGTTACTTTTGAACTCGTTTGTCTAATTTTATGAAAAATATTTCTTTTAATTAGAAAGGTTTTTAATTAAAGTTGATTTAGAGTGACTTCCTTTAAACATTTTCGAATAAGACGTTCTTTTCAAACAAAATTTAAGATAATTTCCTCACAAAAAAATTCTAAAAAAAAAAAACCAAAATCGAAAGCAAAAATATGTCAAATGGACCTTTATCACAATCGAAACAAAAGGCTTCGGATGGATCGTTTGTCACAATGCTACAACTTGAGTCTCTCTGATGTTGCATTAAAGATTACCGATCCTATCTTCGAACATCTAATGCACATAACAATCTCCGAAGAGGATTTTTTACACGATAATCTCCTAAAACTTTATGATTTTGCAGTCCTATGTATGATTTAAAAAAAAAAAATCCTAATGTTCTTTGTTTTCTAACAACAACTTTATTTAAATAACAATTCTTTTGTTTCAACTTTATACAATTAATTTTGATAATTTTACATAATTATTAATTAATATATTAAAACACATTTAATAACTTTAATTTCCTATTTAAAATGCTATCAATCTTTCTATTACCTTAAAGCTTGTTTGTTAGAAATTTTCTGGAAATTATTTTTTCTTAAATCGTTTTCAATAATTTTTTTTTAAGAAATCATTCTTGAAAAATCTCCCAAACAAGTTCTTAGAATGTCTGGCTGAGCTTTTTGGCAAATTTTAATCATTTTTTCACCCGTTAATCATCCACTTAGCCCACAACATTTGACTTCTCATCTCACATGCGGATCCCACGAATAGAAATAAACGCTAAAAAAATCAATTAAAAGAGCCAAAGAAATTCTCATCTCACATGCGGGTCCCACGATTAGAAATAAATGGTAAAAAAATCAATTAAAAGAGCCAAAAAAAGCTGAGCCAGACACCCTCTTAATTTATTAATCAAAATAAATAAATAAAAATAAAAACTTGGAAGGCAAGATTGATTATGTAGTCCATGAGATTCCTAACCTAGAAGGTACGCCAAGAAGGTCATAAATTCTAATCACATATCAAAATCATTGAAACTAATCAACCTTTAGGCCCCGTTCGGGAGGGCTTAAAATTCAATTAAAATTGAAAATATGGCCGTTATTGGGTCCCACCCGTCTAATAAAAGTCAACAATAACGGCTATATTTTCAATTTTAATCTGATTTTAATCCCTCCCAAACAAGCTCTAAACATCAAGGAATTTCCCAAACAAGTTCTTAGAATGTCTGGCTGAGCTTTTTGGCAAATTTTAACCATTTTTTCACCCGTTAATCATCCACTTAGCCCACAACATTTGACTTCTCATCTCACTTGCGGGTCCCACGATTAGAAATAAACGGTAAAAAAATCAATTAGAAGAGTCAAAGAAAACTGAGCCAGACACACTCTTAATTTATTAATCAAAATAAATAAATAAAAATCAAAACTTGGAAGACAAGATTGATTATGTAGTCCATGAGATTCCTAACCTAGAAGGTACGCCAAGAAGGTCATAAATTCTAATCACATATCAAAATCATTGAAACTAATCAACCTTTAATATAAAAATAGTTTTATTAATAATCGTGAAATTATTGTTCACCTACTCCCTCTCAATTATTTCTCATAGAAGCCTATTTTGAATTTTGACGGGAAAAGTCTTGTTTGATTTTTTAACAATTAATTTTAAAAGTACATTTCATAACATCATTACTTTTTAATTACACATTTTATTAGAATTTATTAAAAATATGATTTTTATCTCACCAAATTGAGGCTAAACAATAGATTTTCTGTACGCTAAACAAAATTTCCAAACTAAGAATTTTCCAAAAAAAGCTCTTTAAATATAAGATACTCTCGATTTTAAAAAGTCAACTCTAAAAATTTTGTTGCAAAAGACTCTTCAAATCAACACTTTAAAATAGAATTATGCTGCTCGGCCAGACCTCATGAGGTGGGTCCCGCCTCATTAAAAAATCAACCCATAAAAACCTACCCCATCCCTGTTTATGTGTGTTCGGTAGGGGTTCAGTTTGTGTGAACCCTTACCTGTACACCAAGGCTGGTCCTTTAAAATATAGAGTGGATTTGACTCATTCTCATAAAAGTTAATTTTCCAGTCAATTCTTAGGGTATGTTTGGTACAGTTTAAAATCTAATTAAAATTGAAAATATGATCGTTATTGGGTCTTACTCGCTTAATAAAATTTAACAATAATGACTAATTTTTTAATTTTAATCCGATTTTAATCTCTACCAAACCCGCACTTAAATTTTCTATGCTAATCAAAGTAGTTTAATTATTAAAATCAATGCTATTAACAGCTCAGAGAAAAGGATAACTTGCCTTTGACCGTGTGGGTTGGTGCACTACACGTCATTAATGCACGTGGCGTAATCCAATAGGTTAGCTATCTAGGCCGGTTTCAACCTAAAGACGGCCACCGGGCTATATAAAGGGACCTCGTCTATGCAGATCGATCATCAAATACAGAGTTCTCTTCTAATCTTTTTAGTAAACCTCTCTCAAATATTCGTTTAAAGGTATTTGAGATTTCTCTCGTCTTTCTTTAGAATTTCGTTTCGTTTCGATTCATATTTAATTCTAGTTCTGATCTGATAATTTTTTCTCGGGGCATAGTTATAGACGATTTAGCAAATGATTTTTATTCTGAGTTTTTCTTTGTTAATTTCTGTTATTGCTCCATAGTTATTTGTGTCGATCGATTTGGCAATTTGCTCCGGATCTTGATGGAAAATTCTAGGCTAGTGTTGAACGTTCATTGATATTGGATCTGTTTAATCTATGAAATTGAAATCCAAGAAGGATTTTGATAGTTTACGGAACTCAGGGGTTTGGTCCCGTATGTTATCTGATATTCAAGAAATTTCTGCTTTTTGATGATGATAATTCCTTTGGGCTTATATTTATTTGATGCACCGTTTGATTTTCATTATTCTTAGATGATTCAGATAAATTCTTTTGAGGATGTTTCGATATATTCTATTTTAATTTTTCTTAGTTCAAATCATTTTTCCTCTGTATCTGTCAGTCAATGAATTTCTGTGGTTAGATTTGATATTTTTGTGTATATTTTTTCTGTACTAATTGGTTCTCATTTAGGATTTAACAAGATAAATTTTGATATGGTCTTGTGTCTTGTTTTAACTATACAGATGCAGATTTTCGTGAAAACCTTGACTGGCAAGACTATCACCCTCGAGGTGGAAAGCTCCGACACCATTGACAACGTAAAGGCTAAAATCCAAGATAAGGAAGGGATTCCACCAGACCAACAAAGACTGATTTTTGCTGGTAAACAACTCGAGGATGGCCGTACCCTGGCAGATTACAACATCCAGAAGGAGTCCACCCTTCATTTGGTCCTCAGATTGAGGGGAGGAATGCAAATCTTTGTTAAGACCCTGACTGGCAAGACCATCACTCTTGAGGTCGAGAGCTCCGACACTATTGACAACGTTAAAGCCAAGATCCAGGACAAAGAAGGCATTCCCCCAGACCAGCAAAGATTGATTTTTGCAGGCAAGCAGCTGGAGGATGGCCGGACTCTAGCAGATTACAACATTCAGAAGGAGAGCACTCTTCACTTGGTGCTTAGGCTAAGGGGAGGAATGCAGATCTTTGTCAAAACCCTGACTGGCAAGACCATTACTCTTGAGGTGGAAAGCTCAGACACAATTGACAACGTTAAGGCCAAGATCCAGGATAAGGAGGGCATCCCACCGGATCAGCAGAGGCTTATCTTCGCTGGAAAACAGCTTGAGGATGGCCGTACTCTGGCTGACTACAACATCCAGAAAGAATCCACCCTTCACTTGGTTCTAAGGCTCCGTGGAGGTATGCAAATTTTTGTCAAGACCTTGACAGGCAAGACAATCACCTTGGAGGTGGAGAGCTCAGACACCATTGACAATGTCAAGGCAAAGATCCAGGACAAGGAGGGTATTCCCCCAGACCAGCAGAGGCTTATCTTCGCTGGGAAGCAGCTTGAGGATGGCCGTACCTTGGCGGACTACAACATCCAGAAAGAGTCTACTCTGCACTTGGTGCTTAGGTTGAGGGGAGGTATGCAAATATTTGTCAAGACTTTGACTGGGAAGACCATCACTTTGGAGGTTGAAAGCTCGGATACTATTGACAACGTGAAGGCCAAGATTCAGGACAAAGAAGGTATTCCACCAGACCAGCAGCGGTTGATCTTTGCCGGTAAGCAGTTGGAGGACGGAAGGACCCTGGCGGACTACAACATCCAGAAGGAGTCTACCCTTCATCTTGTCCTCCGCCTCCGTGGCGGTTTCTGAATGTTATGCTGTGTTGTCTATGGTGTTTTGTTGTATGGTTGTTTTTAGCCATTTTTGAATGGCTTATGTGAAACTTTTAAAATCCGATGTTCTTGTTGCAATGGAAGTTCATGGGTTTCCCCCAAATTTATGAATAAAAGTTAGTTTTGCACACTGGTCCTTAATATTCTGTATATTTTTAGTTATTGGTTTGATGAATGCTAACAACGTTCAATAACATCATGGATAGATTTTGTTCTTAAAATATTTCTGGAGGGTGGACTGCTGCTTCTTGCTCTTTAGGGATGATATTTAGCAACTATAGAGAACAGAAGGAAGCAGCAGAGACGATTTTGAGTGCTTGATATATTTTGTTAATTATCTGATTTTCATAGTGTGTGTGACGGTAGTTTTCTCTCGTTGTTATTTATCAGTAGCCTAAGAATGCTACTCTTTCTAAGGCTGTATTCTCTTGTATTTTACTTTCTCAGTCGTCTAAAAATCGTATAAATTGATTCTTTTCAGTTCTCCATTGTTCAATTGCGTTCTTTTTAGTTGTCAAAGGGAGGTTTGGTTTCTGGGTTGAAGAGAAGTTCTGAAAGGAAAAAGATAAAACACTGCAAAGCACACAAGATGCGTGCTTTTTACATCAGTTTCTCCCCCTGAACTAGCCTAAGAGCCAGAGAGAACAACTTTATTCTACACATGACAACGATCTCCAAAAGTCTCATAATTCAGAAAACCACTGCACGCAGTTGGCACTCTTGAGGTTCCAAATTACATTTACTGGGAATATACTCTGCTTTCTGCCCTATTTCTTCCATTTCTTGAGCCTCATAGCTTCCTTCTTGCTGCTGTTGCTGCTGCACTACTCGCCTAAGGTTTCTTCACCTGCAACCCTCACTGATTTTTCCCAATTGTTGGCAGCAATCGTTGAGATGCTCCTCTGTTTGTGGGTTCTTGAAAGTTCTGAGTGAAATTTTTTCAGATTGACTTTGTTGTTGAGTTAAATACATCTTGCAGTGGTAGAGCTGCTGCTGCTCCTTGAACTGCCTCTTGCAGCCCATGCCCTTGTTTTCTTCCTCCACTACCGTGGTTTGTGATGGTTGTGGTGTATCCGAAGGCAGGGGCGGAGCTAGCCGTTTGAAATAGACGGGGGCGGAGCTAGCCGTTTGAAATAGACGGGTCCCAAAATTGAAGATATGCCCAAAATTTTTTTTTTGGATACCTTATTAACAAAAACAAAAAAACATATAAAAGAAAGTACAAATATTTAATTTAGCAAAATCATACCTTATTACAACGGTTCTTTTCGAGTTCTCATATTTTGATGTAGAGTTTAAGATTTTTATTCAATCTGAGCACAAAATGATAATGATAAGTACAAAAAGAACCAAAAAATAAAATAAATAAATAAATAAAAAATTTGTCAAAAATTTTTGGGCGGCTCCGCCAGCGTCCGAAGGCAGTGGTAAGGGTAAGGAGCCACAAAGCAAGCCATGAGTGGTGTAAGTTTAGCCATTGTGAGTACAGAGTTTTTGCTGGGGTGTAGGAGAGTGGACGGGGTTGGAGTTGGGGTGTATTTATAGTTGTTTTGGGCGTTTGCATGGGCAGTACGTGGAGGTGGCAGAAGAACACGGAGGCTAGGCACGGTGAAGAGGTGGCGGAATGAGGGGAGTGAAACTAACACGTATTTCTACATTCGTATGGTGTCAAAATATGGTTGCACCTGTTTTCCATCCACAGAAATGAACACTGCTGCTAAATCGCAAAGTTTATATCCAGACATACCTAAGACTATCTATAATTCACGTGAATTGATTTAAATTTATAAGGGGATTATAATTTAAAACAAACATGAACATGCATCCTGTTTGTAGTCACATTACTAACATCCTACAAAGGTTTAATAGCAGAAAATCCCTCGCAAACTCGTCTTTGTGCGATATATTTTCTATCTATTGAAAATTGTTGAAGAGGTTCCTGTTTGCAACCTTTTGTTCAAAATAATCCCCGCTGTCAAGATCCGTTAGTTTAATTGTTAAAAACAGTAAAAAAAAAGCCAAATTTTAAAATGAATAATTATAGTTGCGATCCCAAACTTTTTAATTTTTTTTGCAAATTATCACCAAATTTTTTATGTGCCATTCACAATCTTGAACTTTTAAAACTTTATTTTCTCCCCCAAACCAAAAAACCCATTCCCTTCCTTCACCACGGTCGCGGACCACCATCAACCGGGTCGCCTCACCACGGCGATCAATTCCATGGAGCCATATCTGAAAATACATGTTCTAATGCTATTGTTCATCCTTGGGATCGAGCCTTAATCGCAAACCTTTAAAAGATTCAGATGATTTTGAAGTTTGAAGTGAAATTGAGCTGATAGGTTTTGGGATATTTGGTAGTTTTTTTTGTCGAGTTTATTGATGAAAGGGAGGTTGGTGAATTGATGGCTGTCAGAATTGGACAACGGTGGGATTTGGAATCTCTGGTGGATTTGTGGGGGAAGAAGATGAGGTGGGGTGGGGAAAAAATGAAGTTCTACATATTTGGGATTATGAGTGGTTCGTATATAAAGTTTGGTTAAATTTTATAAAAAATGTAAAAAGTTTGGCACTGTAACTTAATTATTCATTTTTAATTTTTGCATTTTTTACTATTTTAACTATTAAACTGATGAATCTTGAGGCAGGGGTATTTCAAACTAAATGTTTCAACCAGTGATCTTTTCTATAATTTTCAATAAGTAGGAAGGTAAATCGCACATGGACAAACTTGTATGGGGTTTTCTAATATTAAGCCTTCTAGAAGTATACTTCCCATCTTTTTACATGGATAATCTAACAGGTGCTCCTAAATAATTTTTGGAACAATTTGGTGCTCTTTATGTTAATTCCCATTATTTCCAGGCCCACATTTAGCCCAATTTGCCTTTTAGCCCAAACCACATATAGGACTCACATGTAAATCTAGGGGTGGGCGCGGTTCGATTCGGTTCGATTTTTTTCGGTTCCAAAAATTTTCGGGTATTTAGTAAATGGAACCGTCGGTTCCAAATATAATTTTGGAACCGTTCGGGTTCGATTCTGTTCGGTTCGGTTCCGTACTGAGGTGGCGGAATGAGGGGAGTGAACCTAACACGTATTTCTACATTCGTATAGTGTCAAAATATGGTTGCACCTGTTTTCCACCCACAGAAATGAAGACACTGCTGCTAAATGGCAAAGTTTATATCCAGACATACCTAAGACTATCTATAATTCACGTGAATTGATTTAAATTTAAAACAAACATGAACATGCATCCTGTTTGTAGTCGCATTACTAACATCCTACAAAGGTTTAATAGCAGAAAATCCCTCGCAAACTCGTCTATGTGTGATGTATTTCCTATCTATTGAAAATTGTTGAAGAGGTTCCTGTTTGCAACCTTTTGTTCAAAATAATCCCCGCTGTCAAGATCCGTTAGTTTAATTGTTAAAAACAGTAAAAAAAAATGCCAAATTTTAAAATGAATAATTATAGTTGCGATCCCAAACTTTTTAATTTTTTTTTGCAAATTATCACCAAATTTTTTATGTGTCATTCACAATCCTAAACTTTTAAAACTTTATTTTCTTCCCCAAACCAAAAAACCCATTCCCTTCCTTCACCATGGTCGCGGACCACTATGAACCGGGTCGCCTCACCACGGCTATCAATTCCATGGAGCCATATCTGAAAATACATGTTCTAATGCTACTGTTCATCCTTGGGATCGAGCTCGAGCCTTAATCGCAAACCGTTAAAAGATTCAGATGATTTTGAAGTTTGAAGTGAAATTGAGCTGATGGGTTTTGGGATATTTTGTAGTTTTTTTTGTCGAGTTTATTGATGAAAGGGAGGGTGGTGAATCGATGGCTGTCAGAATTGGACTACGGTGGGTTTTGGAATCTCTGGTGGATTTGTGGGGGAAGAAGATGAGGTGGGGTGGGGAAAAAATGAAGTTCTACATATTTGGGATTATGAGTGGTTCGTATATAAAGTTTGGTTAAATTTATAAAAAATGTAAAAAGTTTGGCACTGTAACTTAATTATTCCTTTTTAATTTTTGCATTTTTTACTGTTTTAACTATTAAACTGATGAATCTTGAGTCAGGGGTATTTCAAACTAAATGTTTCAACAAGTGATCTTTTCTATAATTTTCAATAAGTAGGAAGGTAAATCGCACATGGACAAACTTGTATGGGGTTTTCTAATATTAAGCCTTCTACAAATATACTTCCCATGTTTTTACATGGATAATCTAACAGGTGCTCTAAATAATTTTTGGAACAATTTGGTGCTCTTTATGTTAATTCCCATTATTTCCAGGCCCACATTTAGCCCAATTTGCCTTTTAGCCCAAACCACAGATAGGACTCACATGTAAATCACCATCTAACGACGTCGTTAGAATGTGAACAAATTTACTTGTCTACTTCCCGTATTAGAATATTACATCGTGCACCTTTGGCTATAGATCCGCCACGTAATTTTTTCTTCATAATCAGAAAATTGTTCGCTGTTCCGCACACAGACAATAAAAACTCAACCGACTAACATTTTCCCAACTCCATTTTCTCCCAAGTAACCGATCACTTTTCCAAACCCTAATCTTTTGATCAGGTAATTATTCTCCTCCAATCAGTTTTGTGAATTATTTTGTTTGATTGTTATAATCGTGAAGAAGTGGACGTTCTTGTTTGTAAATTTCTTCGTAAGCTGAAATTGTGCGCTTTTTTTTTTTTAAACTTATTTCTATAGATCTATTCGCTTTTGATTTCCTTGGTTTATATGGTTTGTAGATCGATCTGTTTGTTATTCATTGGTTTTTCAGTTCCTTCTTTTCGAGCTCATCTTATTCTCTGGCGAATTATTTTCGATTTCTCAGATAAAATTTGGACGCGAAAATTTGATTCTTTTATTACGTCGATTTCTTTCTTCCCTAGTTAAAGCAGGGGATCTTCAATAATCAATTTTTTAATGCATACAGTATTGAAGTATTTGATAATTAAGTAATTGTTAATTTGCTACAGTTTTTATTTCTTTCATCCACCCTTGAGCACTAATACGTGAGTTTAAACTTGCAACCATAGATTATTTGTTCGTTGAGTTCTCATTATGATTTGTAATTTCATTTCTTTCATCCAGGTCTGAGCAATCAAATCTTCTTCAACAGACGCTCTTTTCATATCAGCCAAGTTTCATGTCTGATTTTGACATCCAGACTCCTGCTTTTGGTATGCTGTTCTCTTGTTTCCTTTGTTTTTTGAAAAGAATTATCTGTTCTGCCACAATTAAGAGCTTAAGATGGAAACTTCGTCTTGCTTGCAATTGACTCTTGGAATTTCCATGTGATGCATAGATCCTTTTGCTGAGGCAAATGCTGATAATTCTGGTGCTGGTTCAAAAGAATACGTTCATATTCGCGTACAGCAAAGGAATGGTAGGAAAAGCCTGACAACTGTGCAGGGATTGAAGAAAGAGTTCAGTTATAATAAAATACTCAAGGATCTTAAGAAAGAGTTTTGCTGCAATGGTACTGTTGTCCAGGATCCAGAACTAGGCCAGGTGCGTATTGTTTCTTGATTGATGATCTATTTTCTCTGCCTCCTTGCGACTCAGCAGGATGGATGTTGAAGTATGTTTCTCTTGTGAAGGTTATTCAACTTCAAGGTGATCAGCGAAAGAACGTTTCCACCTTTCTTGTTCAGGTGATTACTTTGGGCTGATTCATTATGTCTCATCATACGTTAAATGTGATCTGTAAGAAAATTGAAATCATAATTAGCCAAGGAGTAAGAGATGTTGAAGAAAGCATGTTTAAGTTTTTCATTTGTTGTGCCTGAGGCGAAAAAGACAAGATAGATAGATTTTAGGGCTTAGGAGTTTTTCTGACTAACTTATGTCTTGTTTTATACGGTTTCAAATCAGGCTGGAATTATGAAGAAGGATCTGATCAAGATTCATGGTTTCTGAGCAGCAGCATTAGTTACTGAACTGTTCTCTATTATTCCCGTGCCAGTGCAGACATATTCGTATTTACAATTAAACCAAGCGCTAGTCCAAACATGATATGCGAACTTAGTCTATTCACCTAATAGTTCTTTTATGTATTTTTGGATTTTGGATACTGTAAACTTTATTCCGTTGTTTGCTTCTTAATTCTCCTGCAAATGTCTTGTGATGGTAATGTTATGCTTATTAGTGTTAACAAATGTGCACAATAATGGATATATTCGTGGAGTTGAGATTCCAAATTTGCTGCTGCTACTGCTTTATTGTTGTATCTGTGTGACTTCTCTCGTCCATTGCCTCGTCATACATTTGTGACTGTTTTTCTTGGTCATATGGTACCTTTGACAAAAAGATGGCATGATTTTGGATGCCTGTGTGTTAAAGCCTATAGAGATTGAATTATCTATAATTTGCTTGGAGGCATTGTGAATATCCAGTCGAGGAACAGCAAAGTTGGAAGTCATTTTCCCATCGAATAAAAAAATCTGGGATGCCTTGTATATTGCATTCAAAGTGATATTTACAATCTCGCAGTACTCATTACAAATTCTGACATTCAGAAAGTGATAAAGGAGTAAATTCCCACCATATTCTATGAGAGATATAGAGGTGGAGATGGTTGCCCATTAAGAGATGGCAAAAACAAAGGCACGTTCCGTACTTTTGTAATATCCAGTATATGCATTAAGGAAACCTTATCCAAATCTTCCTGCCATTCTTGCTCCTGTGGTATTTCCTTTGATTGAAGTCCAGCTTTTACCTTATACCTTGGCTTACCTTAGTGATCCTTGAAGCCATTATCTCTAATTATGTCAGTGCATCTACACAAATTCATCTCCAACGTTATCTAGACATCCTTCCAATGATCAAACTTTTTCCAATTTATTCAATATTGCATGACCTTGGTCAAAGTACGCGTGCCTGCTGGTTCTTCTTTCCATCAGCTCCTCTCAATAAAAATTTGTCTAGTTGGTCTTCAGGATACAAGGAGTGAAACAGAAAACATTGTTCTTGTTTTGGATCTTTCAATCGATTGAAACTGCACAAGAGAATCGGTAACACACTCATTTTTCATGTCATCTTGTCCCATGCAAAATTCTTTTAGTTCTTCCTGGGCATCCCTCCAGTCTCCATCGTGATAATTGCTAGAGGCAAGCTAGCACACCTCTATGTCAGTAGTATTTTTTTTTTCTGAGAAATTTCTATCTTCATTCTTAGATACGTTGATATTAATGGTGACTCATTATTTCGATGAATCATTTCTTCATATGGAAGAAGACTAGGTAAACACTTCGAAATCTCACTTATCAGATTTTATTGTGGAAGACAATTTTTTTCTGAAGAATTCAAGACCCCGTTTGGCAGCCCTCATGTCCTCATCATCGCACCCAAAAGATCTACATGCAAGGCTTTTCCCATGTAATTCTGCAAGTTGTGAATGTTTAGATCTTGCGCAACGGTGAACCAAAATGTATCCATGGAACATATTTTAATTCTGGAGCTCGTTGTAGATATATTGTGCCAGAGTTGTTTTGCTTACTCCTCCCTTACCGTAAATGGCAAAACTTGAAGCCTCATTCCCCATTAAACATGGTCAAATTGTCTGCAAATTTCCTTCAAATGCTTGGCCTTTACATATCGTCTTGTTAAATGAACTGAAAGTGGCCATCCATCAAACATGCCCAAAATAGTCATATTTTTATTACTCCCAACCCTATCATCACTCTCTACCCATATGTGCATGCAATAGGACACTACTTAAGGATGACAACGGGACAAAAGGTCATTACCATCCCCCACCGTTTAGAATTTTTGAAAGTAGGGGTGGGAAGTAAGGTTTTAAAAATCCTCATTTACTGCTTTGTTTAGCTAATTATTATGAGGTTTTTTTTTTTAAATGTGAAAACAAACTTGTAAATTGGGTCAAATTTCCTCACTCTTTATTTATATATGGTTTGCTTCTTAATTTCCATTTATAGAAAAATCTTGGGTTTTCTTAACTTAATCTATTGTGTGTTGTCTTAACTGAATCTATGTCTTCTCCGCAACAATAGGTAAAACTAGAGGAAGAGAATGTGGGTGAACAGGTCATAAAAATCTCTGCGACTCTTATAACCTCATTTTAACTGTCTTAAACAAAGATTTCTTTTCGAGTTTCTCTGTCACCTCCCTGCACCGTGTGTCATCTCACGGGGCGTTGGCTGGTGAATATCCTCACTTTTCTCAAATAATCTTTTCTTCTTCTCTGTTGTTTACATTTACTTAATTTTGATTCTAAAATGTTGATAAGAAGCACATGTATAAAAATACCCTGGAGTGTGCTTTCTTGCATTGCTCTTGTTGTGTTTTCTTGTGGCATTAAGATAACTAAGGCTCAAGATTATGACTCCCCGGATACCCCGGCGGCACCGCCACCCGAGCAAGGAAAATGTGATGGCATTTTTGTCACTTATAATTTTATGGGGCGTGAGAAAATTTATCCATTGGTGAAGAACACTTCGGCGCAGGCGTGGTCGTTTAAGGCGATGGCGACGGTGTTGAATGCAGGGGCTTATGAGCTGAAATCGTGGAAGATTTTAATTGGTTTTCAACATGATGAGCTGCTGGTTTCGGTCGATGGGGCGGTGGTTGCGAATGGAGATGGAGATGGATTTCCGATTAAGGTGGGAAAGAATGGGACCCTCTTCGCTGGATTTCCACAGTCTGATTTGGAAACCGCCATTGACACTGCCGGGGATTACACTCAGATGATGGTGCAGGTCAATATTAAAGGAACACTATTCGGTGTGAAGCCTTCGGCCACTCCAATGCCTAGAACAATAAAACTTGTCAATGATGGATATAAATGTCCTGGAGCCACGCGTCGAGGTATCTTCTCTTATCTATGCTTAATGTTTCAAAAAAATCGACCTGAAAATATGTGTTCGTTATTGAATAATCTTTGATTTAAAAGTCTTACATTGGAGATGAATTTAGACACGCAATGACCAGATGAAGACGACAGATTTTCCTATAGAAGTTTTATTATCCCATTTAAAAATAAATAAAATATGTCTTTCACCACACAATTGAAGAGAAAATTGTTCTGATATTTTACATTATTTTGCAGGAAGTTACATGCATGTCTGCTGTAAAAGGGACCCAAAATTTAAGGCTAAGAAAATCAAAACGAAATTCATGCCTCGCCAATACGGTGATCTGTCCTTCACATACGACATTCTTCAGGCATACGAAAACAAATACACGGCACAGGTTACCATTGACAACAATCATCCACTCGGTCGCCTTGATCAATGGAACTTAACTTGGGAGTGGATGAGAAATGAATTCATTAACAGCATGAAGGGAGCCTACACTCACAGAAAAGACCCTTCAGATTGCATTTATGGTGCACAGGGACAATACTACCAGGATTTCGACTTCTCGACTGTAATGAATTGCCAGAAAAAGCCGATTATTTCCGACCTACCTCCTGAGAAAGAAAACGATGACAAGGTTGGGAGATTGCCTTATTGCTGTAAGAATGGTACCCTTTTGCCAAATACTATGAATGAAACCAAGGCAAGAGCTATTTTTCAGTTAGAAGTTTTCAAGCTTCCACCTGATATGAACAGGACAGCACTTTATCCTCCCCAGAATTGGAAAATTGAAGGTTTACTGAATCCAACTTACATATGTGGCCCTCCTTTTAGGGTCGATCCGACAGAATTTCCAGATCCTAGTGGAATCGCTGCAACATCTTCTGCTGTTGCAAGTTGGCAAGTTTCTTGCAACATAACACATCCCAAGCCGAAGCATGCAAAATGCTGCATTTCTTTCTCGGCTTATTATGCTGATTCTGTTGTACCCTGCAACACCTGCGCATGCGGCTGTGGTGATGATGCACGGTGCAATCAAAATGCAGTGCCATTGCCTTTGCCTCCAGATGCTCTTCTTGTGCCTTTTGCTAATAGGACGCAGAAAGCGATAGCTTGGGCTAAACTGAAACACCACAAACTGCCGGCAAAACTGCCGTGCCCTGACAATTGTGGGGTGAGCATCAACTGGCATCTTGACACTGATTACAAAACTGGATGGACTGCAAGAATTACTCTCTTCAACTGGGATGAAGTTCCGTTTGTTGACTGGTTCACTGCATTCCAGTTTAAAAAGGCCTTTCCGGGATATGAGAAAGTTTACTCTTTCAACGGCACCAAACTTACTCGACCTAATAACACCATCTTCATGGAAGGCTTACCAGGTTTAAATTACCTGGTAGGAGAGGTAAACGGGACTCACCCGGATAGAGATCCCAAAGTTCCTGGAAAGCAGCAATCTGTTATTTCATTCTTGAAAAAAGACACCCCCCATATAAAAGTGGCACAAGGTGATGGTTTCCCTTCACAAGTGTTCTTCAACGGTGAAGAGTGTGCTCTTCCAAAACAACTTCCCATAATAAGTGGAGCCACCCGATCCCCCACCAGTATGCTGCCAGCAATTTTGCTTTCTGCTGCTACTTTTGTACTGATATCGGGTCTCTTAAACTGATTACACATTTCAGAATTTTTCTTAGTAGGGTACAAAATTTGAGAAATGAAAATTAATCCATTTAAGCTTTGATAAAGAACAAAGATATTTTCTTGATTTTGATTTATAGATATAATCCTCTCTGTCTCGGGAAATAAATGGAATGGTGTGCTTGAGAGGATAACCAACAGCAGGATATGCAGCAAAGATTATGGAAGATTGGTTGGTTCTTATCCGACAAGCAGATGGAGGGATTGTAACAAGTTTGAGATGTATAGGAATTTGTGATTGTTGTTATGAATGATTATATTGCATTTAGCTATTGTTACAAATTAACTTTGAATGTTTTAGCTTGTTGGTAATGAGAGTTTATATGCTCTCATCTCCAAGAGTCAAAAATACTATTGTCAATCTGGACCTGAACATTCTTCATTAATTAGTCTTAGAACTTAGAATGTAGGTGCTCATTTAGGATCAAAATCAGATATTTGATTCACGATGAATGCATATATTTGATTTCTCGGGGCTCTGCATTAACCGTTCATCATACTTCACTTGATGCTCCCAAACGCTCTTTCGACTTTACATTGCTAGGGCGGTCTTTCTCTGCACGATGACGAGGCCAAAAAATTTGTATTAAGCATTTTATTGTCCATCTTCATCAACCAACTCACTAACTGGCCATTTTAGGGGCCTTAAGCCAGATCTGGGCTCTCTCTCTCTAGATGAAGGTTATCCCCATTGTCTTACAAATAACTTCGTTAACAAAAGCTACCTTTAAAGTTCTCATCTCTTTAACCTGTTAAGTTCGTTTTATCCTGATTTGTACATTTTCAAAAGTCTGTCACACTGTAAAATTTCTATTCACTTCATCTAAAAATTTGAGAACAGATTTTTTCTCAAATAGCAGTGTTTACACTTCAATGTTTTTATTAATGTAAGGCTTAATACTCTGCCTCTTTCTCTACCATTTGTGTACGTCAAGAGAAGATTCCAGATAGAAAGGGGGACTCGAGGGAACAAAGTATGATCTGAGAATTGATACCTGTGTTTAATCTCGAGTGTTAGGGGGAATTGACACTACAAATCCCATTGCCCAAAGCGCAAGAAACGAAAATTCTTGATAATGATGAAGCAAAGTATAAACTCCCAGAATAAGATACTAAAAGAGATCAAGAACAGCACAGTCTTGTTGAAAAAGTAGCCATATGCTTTGTGCTGGAAGCCAAGAAATCCCAAAAGGGGAATAATAACAAAAGGAAGCTAAAGCTTCACTGCCACAGTTTATAAAGAAAGATGCAATCTCATCTACAAATACCCCTACTAGCAACATTTTCGTTTACCCCAAATCACAATAGCTACAAAAAACTTTTCTATTTAGAGTTTTGGCCGCAGGCTAGTTTTCGAGTTCTTTTTCAATGGCTGAAACTGTTTTAGGATTGAATAGAAAAGCATTCTATGTGTTAGGGCTATTTAGTGTTCTGTTACTGACTCAGAGGGGTAATGCTTATGAATTCAAGGTGGGAGGTCCAAAAGGCAGTTGGGCAGTTCCTGGTGATCCTAATGCAGCTAGCTTCAATAAGTGGGCAGAGATGAACAGGTTTCAGACTGGGGACACCCTATGTAAGAAGCACTCTTCCTTTATTTTCTCCACTTCGAATTAGTTTTACTGAACTAGGTGCGTTCTACTTGTAGACGAGAGTAACAAAGATAGAATGATTTCATCTTCTTCAAGTTTTTGCTATATTGCAGTGTTTGTTTATCCTGCTGACCAAGACTCTGTGCTACACGTAACGAAGGATGACTACACAAATTGCAACACGGCAGCACCCCTCGAAAAATTCTCTGATGGCCACACCGTGTTTAAGTTTAATCAATCAGGGCCATGTTACTTCATAAGTGGAGTTGCAGATAACTGTAAGAAAATACTTTTTGACCATCATCAACACTAGGCAGATAGAAGCAACCATTCTTCAAACTCTGACCAAAAAACACCATCTCCAGCGCCTGCCAGTGAAGAGTCCCATTCTCCACCTCCCTCAGCGGAAGTGCCCCCATCTCCAGCGCCTGCAGGTGAAGAGTCTCCTTCTCCACCTCCCTCTGGGGACGAAAACCCAGCTTCAGCACCTTCTCAGGAATCTCATCCTCCTCCTCCAAATGGTGCTACTGCAATTTGCTCAACTGCTATTGGCTTCATTGGAGTTTTTGTGGGTTCATCCCTCCTAGTTTTTTGAACTGAAAATATGCATCCAAATCGAAGTTGTCTTTCTATTCTTTCCCCGTGAAGTTCTTTGGTTTGTTTGTCCATAATTTTTCCTTCCTTTTCTTGGTGGATTCAACCACTACAGATTGCTGATACAGTAAAGATATAAGCCGATAGCTTTGCAAAGATTGCACTGGACGCTGCTGAATTATGTATTGATCTACGGCGTACAAAACAATAAATAATATTAATATAATTTGTGTGGATAATATTTTTTTTTTCCTGTTCAATTTTTCATTCTATCCACATTCCATGAAAGGAAAAACTACAAACCGAAATGATAAATATCATCACCTCCAAGTTCAATGGTGAAGATACTACACATTTTAATTTATCGCGTAAGGGAGGCTTATCAATTAGTTGCAAGCTACACTCTGTGTATAACACGTGCTTCAGTGCACAAACGTGGACTTCAAGCATCACTAGCATTCCTCTTCAAACAAATACTACCAGTTACAGTAGCAACTGGAGCAAAAAATAAATGGCATTCACTAACAACACTTCAAACTTTTCAACAGCAAAAAACAGTGTCGAATTTACTTTATTAAAAATGTCAAGTATACATGATTCATTTTGTTTATACACTGACTAAGCTAATTTCCGTTCAAAAGTTTTTTCCCAGTTCAACTTTCTTGATCATTCTCATAGTGTTGTGCAGAATTGAATCCATAATCCCAACGACCTAAAACGACCAAAAAGTTAATGTCAGTCTGCCTAATTGCACTACAGGATGAAAATGAAATAATGAGAGAGAAAAAGAACAAGTAAACGGTGCATTTATGTAGGCTATGCGACAATTGGATAACACACACACAAACACACATCGAGAAAGAGGGGTATGGTAGAGAGACAACTGACCGTAAAAACACCTCCAATAATGGCACAAACATTGGTAATGAAGTGTGAAAAGGACTTCGAATTTTCTGTTATCAAAACCTGTTAATAAAAGAAAATAGCTATGAATGCAAATAAACAGATCAATACAATCTTAAGAGTGTACTTCCAAATGAATTAGCTCAAACCTGCATTGGAGATAGATCAAAATGAAATTTTGCAACAGGAACATGAAGACTGTGAACCAAACTACTGTGAGCTGTGTACTCGTACTCCTCAGCAAATTTAGAAAATCTTGTCATCACTTCTGTTTTTACAATTTGAAGATAATGCTCGATCTGCAAAACACCGAAACAAAAATGCAGGATTATTGCAAGATCATAATTGTGCAATTTTGTCTGACTGTATATGCAATTTTGGTCATATGATTCTGTATGAAAACCAATAAAGAATCTGTTAAAAGTGTAGGGTAAGTGTAAAGAGAAGTTAAACTTTGGGTTCATTACCCATTCACACCAAGTGTAATATAGCAAACCTAGCCCAGTTCCACCTCTTAAACATTTGTCAAAATTTTGAACAACATAAAACAAAATTACGAATATTTTCTTTTCTTCAAGAAATTTTGTTGGGAACGAGGCTTAGTTTGTTGTTCTTCAAGAAATTGTTTAAGAAGCTAAACATCATTATTCTGTTACGCACTTTAAAGTCTAAGCTCTTAATCATACTTCGCTTTCTAGCGAAAAAGAGAAGCAAACAGAATAACGGACACTTTTTTTTCTTTCTTCTTTTATAAAAAAAATACCACAAAGCCTAGGCAGGGTTTTTAGGCCTCTACTAGACCCAGTGGACACCTTTCATCCAAAAGGGAGGAAGTGTTGCGAGCAAGAGTGATTAAGCTTACAGTAACATTTGCACTGGAATCACTTGGATTACTGATGTATGACATTCCATTCAACCTGCCATGGCTTCTGCCAAGGTATGGCAGCAATCTCTTCATATTACTCATCATCCTTGAAGAGAACCTTTTACCGAAAGAAAATTGGGAAATTATATGTGACATATTCATTTGAGAAGCATCAAAGGAATGGGCAGCTGAGCGAGCTGATATGATTAGGTTCCCAGGAACCTGAATGACAGAAACCATACTTCAGATCATACCAAAGATGGACATAATAATGACTTCTACAAAACAAAAATAAGTAAAATGGTTTAGGGGCAGCTAGCAGTACATTGATCACTGCAAGGGGAAACTCTAACCAAGTCGTTTGGTTTAGGACAAAAAATGTTTGGCACCTTACACTAACTTCAGTGGACCTAAATTTTTTACCTTCTTCACACGAACAAAACCCTCGATTCTACATCCTCCTGTTAATGGTGCAGGTCTTTTTGCATCATCAGTCTTGTTAGGCTGACTGTCCGAAGCAACCTCTTGCGATGCCAATGAAATAGGTGCAACCAAATTCTCCATTGTCTGCAAGGATAAAACAGTGTTCGCATTCTTGAAAGGGTAGAGATTCACGTCAACAATTACAACAAATAGCTAGCTAAATTCTATGCAGCATGCAATCCAAAGATTCAAGTAAGAATGTCCCTCCCAATCCACAGTTCCTCCATGCATATTCTCTTTTTTCTTAATTCTGTAATTTCTCTATCCAATTAATTATTTTAGGTAATATTAGAATTCTCACCTTGACTAGGCTATCCGTATCTCGGTCCCCATAATACGATTCATGATCATGATGGCCATGATTGTCTCTGTGTCAAAAATGACAAAGCAGTTTAGATGGCTCAAATAAAAATGTCTAGCAACTGATGACCATAGGACATATTTCCTATTAATCAGAAAAAAAGAATGATAAAATCCTTCGAGCAAGGGCGCTGGTAGGCGAACCCATTATAAACAAAGCATTTTGTGCAGAAAGTGGCTGGGACTAAAAACTTGCTATTGTTACGTGAACTTTGTACCCCTGCTCGGTTATGGCCTCTAAACAGAACAAAATTAGTAAAAATGCCGTGATTAGCAGTAAGACAAAAAATATTATTTGCTTAGCTCTAGATAAGCATATTCAACCCAAATTATATGATAGGCTTTCCACAATCAAATACGTCTTTGCAACAATATAAAGCTAGTCCCATGCACGTAGAGAGAAGGCAGATCCTGCTTCATATGGCTTGTGTTTGAATCTCATTAAAATGAGAATAGAATTTTTGGAACGGTGACTGATGGGAGAATGTGTGCTGAAAAAGTAATGAAAAGTTTTAGATTTGTGTGCAATATTATTTTATTTGAAGAATGTGTGGTTGAAATGATGAAGGAGAAAAAAATGAGAATGAGATTAAAATGGGTGTCAAACAGGGGCAAGGTATTGAATCTGAGAAGTACTCACTACTCAACTAAATCAAGAACTTTGTTTCAGTAGTATTAAGTTATATAATATGTTCAGGTGGTTAATGACTTGGGAAGAGACAAAGACAGAGATAGAGGCAGACACAAAAAACAAGTCTCAAAACAGAGCAAAATTTTCATTTTTTAACTGCACCAAGTGTCCTCTTAAGAAAATGCTCAATGTCATGGACTTGTGATGAATGAAATTGGAAATGAAAGAAAGCTAAAGATTCATAAAATCATAACTGAAATAAACAGTAGAAGAGATGGTAAAAAATAAAATTACGAAACGCATTCGATAAGAGATGGTAAAAGATGCATTATTTTTTACATGACATTAGTTCCTTCTGCCTTCTATGCTTATCTACCTATTCCTTGTATGTGATTCCTGAAATTAAAAAACAAGAGATTTAATCAACAGAATAGAGAACTGCAAGAAATTAAAAATTAAAAGAGCAGTATGCTGGCACCAAGCAATTAATTCAGAGTTTCAGAAAGGTACAGGGATCCAAACATGAAAGAAACTACTACATGGATGATGATCTTCTATATGGAACTTCAAAAAGAGTAACCAATTGTATTAAAAAATAAAAAATGGATAACACAACTCAAGTCAAAAAATTAATTAGCCATAATGATTGCCAGGCAAAAATTCAGCCATAACTATACTTTTTGGCACTTCAGAAATATACCAGCAAAGACGACTATTTCATCTCTACAGAACTTCAATCACTGTACACATAATTCAAAGACGATATGTAAGGGAAGAAAAGAACGTCGAATTAACCAACACATATTACCAGCAAATTTTTTAGACCTAAAAAAAAATATTACCATGTGATCAAATGGTTAATCAAAATTAAAAAAAAAACATAAAACAATTAAAAAAATTAAACCCAAATAGCCAAACTGATATCAAATCTTACACAAATTGACACCTAAATAGGAATACCCAAGTTCATGTCCAACGGTACCAACAAATATCCTACTAGTATGAATACATAAAAATGATAGTTTTACTTACTGAAAAATGAAAAGAAAGTAATCATCGGAATCACAAAAGAACATATTTACAGATTGTCGTACAGACAGATAAGCAAAATGATAATCAAGAAAATACCTTTTACACAGTTCAATTTCTTCAGTGCAATCAACCTTCCCCAGAAGAATGCGCCCATCCATTTCCGGGTCATACCTAAACCCAAAGTTTTTCAAGTGAGATTTTGAATGGAACAATACCATAGAAAATATACTCCATTTTCAGAACTGAGCGAACGGCCAAGTACATAGTTTATTTATATTTATTGAGCAATAATAATAGACCGTTAAAGGATTAGACCTTTCCATCATAATTTTGGCTGCTTTTTCCCATGAAGGTTTCTGGAAGGAATTCGTGCGAGAGGCAAAAAAGCGTTAGCGAATCCATAATTGTCATTTCATATTATTGATTCAGAGCTAGAGTGAATAGTTCCTATAAAGGAAATTGAGAAAGCAATCCAAGGCACTAGGTTGCAAAAATTTATAATAGTAATAATACCAGGCGGTTGCTCCAATAGCACCAAGGAGCATAGAAATTTACTACCAAAATTGCATGCCTACAACGATGCAAATCAACAGTATACAATATAAGAAGAGAAACATAACATGCACAATGTAATAAGAAAACAAATAACAGGGTTAGAAATTTGAAGTTCTGCAAGCTGTATACAATCAACTTACTGGTGTGCGATTCTATCAAAATTGTGTGTATTCAGTGTAACAGAACCTTCACCATATTCCTCATCATATTCCTCATCGTGCTTAATTGCCTTTGTAATTGGTCCTGACTCAAACTCAGAGCCAGTTGTCTTTAAATTTGAATCTATTGAATACTTACGAACAGTTTTAGTTATATTCAACCTATTCTGTGAAAAGATGACATCTACTCAGTAATATATATTAAGTAATATGCACAATACATATCAAATCTGTCGGATGGATTATGATAGAAGGAAAGCAATCATACAGCAGAAACTGTTAGAATAGTATGACTGCTTGTTATTTAATTCCAAACAAGAAACCAAGAACCTTGTCAAATAAATAAATAGTCAAGGGAAAATTATACTAAGCCATTTCAGATATCCCATTTACAACACAGCTCGCTTTGAAAACATACAATCGATCCCTCATTTCTATACTCTCCCTATAGGCAATAGACAACAATCGTAGTCAATAAGAGGAACGTTGATCTAGACGAATCTACAAGTACATTTCCACAAGTGTATATCAATTAATTCATTGGAGAACATGTTAAAGCCCCAAAAAATAAAAATTAAAAAAAGAAAGAAAGAAAATAAAATATAGATTATACAACCACAACCACCACCTTCAATTGTAGGTTCCACCGCAAAAACACTATTTCACACTTGGTGCTTGTCAGGGATAGCTTAAAAAGTTGCCAAAAAGTTGAGGACAATGTCAACAATTAATTTTAACCGCAAATTTCATCAACTTTTATCAAAATATGCGAACATTTTCATAAAAAGCTTTGTCAAAACAACCCCTTAATGTATCAAAGGTCATTTGCAGATTGATTCGAAAAACACTATTTTTTGTTCACTATCATCTATGGTAAGAACCCAAGTTCAAGGAAAGGTTATCTGTTTGGTATATGACACCCTGGAGGTAATCAGCTCAAATATTGAGAAAGTTTATTAAAGTCAACAATATCATTCCACAAGCACCTTTGGTATTTAGGATAACTTCTGAATTAACACCCAAAAGAAGTAAATGAAAGAAACTCACCGTTCCCAAGACGTCACTGACATCGATGGATGCAAATTCACAGGACAATGCTGGAAAACTACAAAAGGATCAGAGCAATATGTGGTTCACGGGTTAAAAGGAAAAAAATGACACAGGACAGAAACTGGTGATGTCAAGCATAAAATAAGAGAAATGAAGCATATGAGAAGCAACAAAAAGATATTTGCACAATTTCATGAAATATTATCAATGGCAACAAATATCCGGAGTATTTCTAATACCAAAGGAAATATAATTAGCCTAACAGTTGTGAATATATCACTTTTAATACATGAAGGTTTTTTTTTTTTTCTTGTGGGGTGGGGGTTGTCTACACCAAATCGAAGAAAATAATTGAGAGAATCATAAGTATCAGACACAAGAAGAAAATAATAGGAACCCAAACAGAGTTACCAGCCTTAAAATCAGTCAAAGAAATCAAGGATGGCTGAAACATATGACAGCCAGAAAGAGCACCTGGGCACCTTTTTTTTTCCAAACATTTCATTGTAGCTTTTTGTGGAAAATGAATTTTTTTTCCTTTTTTGGGTGAGAAGTAAATGAACATTATACCAGAGAATATGAGAAAAACAAGATGTTAATGAAAATAACAAGTTAATATTTCGAATTTTAGTTCCAGCTTTTGATTTCAAATTGAAGAAAAGCTTTAACATAGAAATACTTATGCTACGATTTGACAATGAAGACTAGAGGAAATCACTAGTTAAGAATGATTTCTAACATGATCGTTCATCCATTGAAAAAACCCCATGATGCATTTTTCTTATTTCGAAATATAACTGTTATCACAAATCGCACACATTTACAGAAGGAAATTCCAATAAAACACCACAAAAAAATGTTTTAATTTATGTGGTAGAATCTAACCAAAAATAAATAAATAAATAAAATGAACAAACAATTATCAAAATGCCCCTGAATTTGATCGTTTCACGAAATGAAGACAGTCCCCAGCCTTTCAGATTAGTGACATTGTAGTAGGTATTTACATCAGGAAGAAGAAAACACAATGATAGATGGTTTATGATTAAGAAAATTGAATGTGTACTCTTCTACCTAATATTGAAATCAATTCGTAAGAAGTCTCCATCAGAACTATTGTCAACTACAATCGAGGTAGAGGTGTTCACCCTCAAATAATCATTTAATTCCTGCAATATGAAAGCATAAGCACAAGTTGGTTACACTCCAGTTCGCCATGACAATAGCTGTAAAATACCTATAAGGTAAAATAGCAGTTAGAATATTGATAATGAAGAAGACACACAGCTATTGCTATTCCATTAATGACTAACTTTAGAGCAGTCATATATTATTATTATCCTGTGCTACATCTGTGCAAAAATCTACTAATCATCGACAAGCAAGAAGTCAACTTCCTACCATTCCAAATAGAAAGATCATAGAAAAGGCTGCTATAAGTGACAGCCCAGCACCTGACAATGATGCCTCGGTCAGGTCTCTGGGAATTTTCCTGCAAAGAAAATGAAAAGAAAAAAAGGGATTTTCAGTTTGATAAAATGCTAGAATGACTGGGACCAAAACTCAGGCATACAGTACATATTCGAACTCTCCACAGTACCAAAATCTCAATTGCTAAGGGGCTGTTCTCTTTGTGTTTCAGTTTTGGGTTTTGGGTTTTGAATTCATCTTGAGTTTTGTGTTTTGAGCGTCTATTTTGCGACGTTGCGCTGGTTGGGTTGCAACGTCGCGGTGGTGGGAATGCGATTTTTTGCTGTGGCGATTTTGGCTGCGGTTGGGCTGCGACGCTACTGTGGTGGCTAAGGTGGCGGTTGGGTCGCGATTTTTTGGCTGTGGCGATTGGGGTATTGGCTGTGGCGGTTGGATCGCGATTTTGGCTGCTGTTGTGTCTTGATTTTGGCTGTGGTTGTGTGGCTATTTTGGTGGCGATTTTGCGGTGATGGGTCGCCATTTTGGCTGGGTGGTGGTGGTCTTTCTGGTGACGATTTTGGCTGTTTCAGTGGAGATATTTCTGGTGGCAATTTTTCGGAGGTTGGGTCGTGATTTTGGTTGTAGCAGTGGTGGTTTCCGGCAACGATTTTGGTGGTGGAGGACCCGTGGTGCAGTGGTAGTTGGGTTCCGGTGGTGTAGTGGTGGTCAAGAAAGAATAGCCGGCCCCAGAGGGAAGGAATTGGAATTGTGGTAGTGGAGGTGTTATTGGATTGAAAATGGTCATTTCCCTTGTTTTGCAATTTTTCCCCGTTTTTGCTTGAAAACGGCCAAAACGATGTTTTTATCGTTTTGTGTACAAATTTTTTATCGTTTTCAAAAACGCATTTTCAAAAATAGGAAAGAGAACGCGTTTTCATTGTTTTGGAAAATCGAAAACAGAAAACGCCCCAAAACGACCAAAGAAAACACCACCTATAATTCTCAGCATCACCATTCTTGTCCACATTCATTCTAACCGTTCCCAGTATAAACAAAATACTTGATCAATATGTGCATATTATCCAATCATAGTTCTTCCATTGTTCTAAATGGTTGGTATAACAATGCCCCCACATCATGCATCATATCTGTTGACTGTTTCACTGAGTAACAAAAGTTTCCACTAGCCTACTGTCCTACCATCGTCGTTTATTGGAGGATTTTTCTGGATGCAATTCACTAAACTATTTCCAAAAGCAATGCTTTGATTTAATCGTCCTATATCCCCTGTGGTCCACTATCATACACCTAAACAGCACACATCCGACACAGTATCTGAACTACAAAACAAATCCTTACAGACAAAAAAAAAATGAGTTTTTAATTTCTGGATTTTACACGATTAATCATATCCATTGACAATTTCGTATTCATGATCGAATAAAATAGGACGGCATACACACAATAAGCATAAAAATTCCGAAAAAAGAGCTAACCTGTAGAAATCAACGGATTTGATTTTACTGGTCGAAACCATGACTACTGGAAAAATTATTACGACACAAAAAAATATTCTAAAATTATTAACAGTCTTGAAATCAATAACAGATCTGTAAAAGAAGGGTCTACTTAAAATCCAGAATCGAAAGCGAAAAGATTCTATTTCTTAAGAATGTAAGTAATCCAATGGGAATGGATGTTACAATATGCAATGCAGGCGTTTTAAGCGGGATTGTTTTGTGTGTTCAATGCGTTGCGAATTAATTGAAAATTAAAAGCAAAAATCGGGTTTTGCGTTCATGTTAGAGGGTCCAGTGGAAATAGTAACTTAATGGACCCCACTCTATGTGGATCCACTAACGTTTGACAAACCGCAATACTTAAGAGGGTATTCGGCGGTGAATAAAATTAGATTTTTAGTGGATTGTGATCGAAATTTTTGAAATGTGCGGTTTAAAAGTTGTGAGACTCATAAAAGATGTAGTTAATATTGGTTTTTTTACTTTAACTTGACGTTGGCTTAATTTTCTCCTCAAATAGAAGGGTTGAGGAAAATTTCTCTGTGTAACATTTTTTTTTGTTTGTTTGTTTTTTGGCGAATTTAAAACTCCACTCAATTTCTATCTCAATTGCAATTAAGTTATTGAACTTTATCTTACAACAATCGGGTCACTCAACTTCAATTTAATTATGATCAGATCATTGCATTCCAGCAATCTACATGACAGAATATGGTTAATTGGCCGTTAAAATTATGATCAAATCATCAATTTGCATTCCATCAATCTACGTAACAAAATATGCTTAATTGGCCGTTAAAATTAATTTCTACAAAAGTTAACCAATGTATAGGCTTGTTACACGTGCTTCATAATGCAACCTATGAAAATCATAAGTAAAAAAATCCTTCATTGCAGGACGGAGAATTCTAAAGTTAAGTAATCCGATTGTAATAAATTGAAATTCAGTGACCTAATCGCAATGGAGATGAAAGCTGGGTGGATTTGAATTAAACTTGGAAATGACTCCTTTCATCATTCAAAATACGAAAATTAATATTTCGTATATTAAACACGATAATTAATATTTCATAAGTCATCTCTAAAAATAATAATATTTCAAGAGTTATAAATGCATATACTTTAGACTACTTTTAATATTATTTTCTAAACGTGCTTTGCATGTTGTATAATATGATAATATGTTTTTATATTTTAATAATGTTTAGAATTATATTCAATAAAAATTATCTTAATATCCTCAAAAAATTAAACATGTGTATAAGTCAAATTATAACTTGTACACATCATTATCTTACTATCAGTGCATAGAATTATCTTACATATGCGAGCATTGTGGTGCCAATCATCCGACATTAGATTTGGTAATGTAAAGAATTGAATGATTAAAAAAGATTCATGTAATTATTCTCGTACTCCTATCCCTTTTATATAGGGTCTTTATTAAGTGGAGGCTGTACAACATCGACAACATTAAAAAAAAAGGAAACTAAAATCTTTTCTTTTGTACTTTCTTGTTCGACCTATTACTGAACACCAAACACCCTCGTAAAGTTCAGAAGTCGATGATGGGTTCACCAATTGTCAAATTTCTTTCTAGAGTCCATGGCAGGTTAAAGAGATTGGCCATGATGAACTTGAAGATCTTGTTCACATTGATGTTGTGTGTGGCACTTGAGAAGAAGAGGGTTGCTTTCATAGCCCTGGCATATGCCCTTGCCTGCTTTACCACATATATTAATACAAAATTATATTTATATTCATAATCATAGCATATAATCATAATCAACGAATCTAGAAAAAGTCATTGACTAAAAATATTACTCACTTCGTCCCAATTTTATAGATTTATTTCGTTTTTCACGCGAATTAATAAAGCTTCTATAATATCATTGGAAAATTAATTTTTGCTAAGATCTTTCCTAATTTACCCATATTTAATTTTCAGTATGTAATACTAAATTATTGTTGGAATTAATAAATAATTTGAAGAAGAAGAAGTGAGAGTTGTTCCATATTCCAAGAAGTGAGAAATGTGTGTATTTGGATGATTTCAAGAAGTTCGCATATTAGGTGGAGAAAATTTAATAAGGGTATATTGATAAAAGAACACAACAAAATATTCTATATTAAGAAACATGCATATGTATTTGGAACAAAAGAAAAAGAAAACTCGAAACTATATAATTGAGACGGACGGGGTATTACTTTGCACAAATTCGAATGTAACTTTGTTTTTAGTCATAGAATTTTGCTTTTGTGAACTTCAAGATAAATTTTGATTTTCACAAGAACCAAATTTTTTATTATTATTATTATATATAATCTTTTATAAGCAAGAAGAAATTTTTACCTGAGTCACAATAGTCCATTGAATATCTGGTGGAAGTCGGACAAAATCATCAAACTTTGTTCCGATTAATATAGGAATTGCATTCTGCAATTAACAATTCTTGTTTAATTTTATAGGACAACAAATCCACGTATGAAAAGAGTAGGTGACGTTCGTACCCGATTCCACTTCGTTGCCTCGTTATACCATCCAATAATACTACAACGACACAAAAACGCCCCCATTAAAATATTTATTTTTATATTATTATCAAATTTAAGAAAATAAGATTAAACATACCTGTTGAGTGTACATCTACTAGTAAGATCAAACATAAATAAAATTGCGACAGCATCTTTGCAAGAAATTGGAACCTGATCAAAAGAACTTTTGTCGCCTGCATTATGATTTGGAAAATAAATTTTAATTTAATTTAATTACATAGTAAATTAAATATAGGAATTAATTTTTTTTAATCATACCTCCCACATCCCATATTCTAAAAGCAATCCTTGCACCTCGAACATGGAAAATTTTGTCCATTAAATTTATTCCTTTCATCTGAAGTCCTCTTTTTTCTTGTTCATCCCCTACATACTTTATCTAAAACATTGAACCAAATGAAAATTAATATAAAAATATTAAACACCAGATGATCTCTTCCAGCAGCAAGAAACCCGTAATCGAAAAAGTAATATTCTCGATAAATTTAGTGTCGACTACTTGAAAAAAAAAAGAGAGAGAGACGATACTCACCATAAAGCTTGTTTTTCCAATCTGGCAATCCCCCAAAAGACTGATTTTTAAGGCAACTAAATCTGAATCACTCATGTCCTCTTCATAGCTACTGCTGCATGTAGTCATGGGGTCTTCTTCATGTCCTATGCCAGACTCTATAGCTTCCATGGACGACGGCAAAGAAGTAGAAGAATTAGGGGATCTTCGGGACAATCTCCTGTACCGAATAGGCCTTCCAATTGAACAAACAAGAATTCTATCCCAAATGAATCCAAAGAACTGCCGGAATATTGAAACTTTGTCTATTATGCTCCACCGGATATTGACGTGGACGATTCTCCGGCAGAGTTGCATCATCTTTCCGGCAGCTTCATGAATTCTTATAGCAGCCCCAGCCATGAGTGTTATATGGTCCAGTGGCTTCTTGTTTACTCATGCTCTTGGTTAATAGTAAAAATGAATTAATCTAAGGTGGGTGTTATCATGGGGCGGGTTTTGACCCGTGTTGGGTTGTGTGGATAACGGAAACGGTCCAAGTTGCCGGCTCATTGCTTTCTACGTAGCTTGGTTATATAGGTCAACTAAGATAAGTATCATGAATTGTTTATATATATATATAAAATATTACGGAATTACCCATTAGAATCTATTGAGAAATTAAACCCCCTATTTATATGGATTAAAATTAGATTTTGATAAAAATTGATAAAATGTATAATTGAAAATGTGTGAATATCATAAACTGTGATTAAAATTAATTGTTGATTTAAAATTTTAATTTCAATTTCTATAAATCATGATTATATAATTTATTTAATTATAAATTAATAATCAGTGGACCATACATTTGATTGGTGGATCTAGATCAAGCAAAAAATAATATAGTTTTATATACTTAATAAGAATATAGAAAAAGCTGCAAACCCCATAGCCATGAGCATGAGCATGAGCATGACACATATATATAATTCTTATCCTATCTATAAAGCATTCCCTATATAAAATATATTCATCTTGCCCCTCTTTTGCCCTGCCAAGCATCCCAAAACAAGAGATTAAAGTCTAAAGTACAATCAAAAGTTATATTCTTTAATCTTTATCAATGTGAAAATTAGTGAAGTTGAAAATTGAAAAAAGATTTAAATCTCTTTTCATGGTGTAAAAAGAGCATAAATCAATTATAAGTGAATTTTTTTTTTTTTAAATAAAAAAATAAAGTCAATACACTTAGGGCCCACTTGGCAAGACTTCCGAAAAATCAAAAGATATTTCTAAGATTAAAAAGTTACTTTTGAACATATTCGAATAATTTTCTACAAAGTGTTATGTATTGCGGAAAGAGCATTTTTAGAGGAAATTTGATTTAAAGAGACTTTTTACAAGAAGCACAAGCCCTATCCAATGGGTTATTAATCTACATCATATTTTATTTTTGTTCGTTACCCATCAACTCTGCCTTCAACACGGTCATAAAGAATGTGTATCTTGTCAATTCTTCACAGAACGACCATCAAAATGATTTTTTTTTTTTTAATTTTGGTTAAATAGAATACACCAAACGCACCTATGCCTATAAGTGTTGAGAACTTGAGGGCCTTGGGTGTTGCGTGATGGTCCAAAGAAAGACACCTAGAGCAAACTACCTAACTAATTTTGAATATTATTTGCTAAAACCTAAGGTCATGGGGGTTGGGTGAGATTTTTTTATAAATCAGCACCAAACTCAATATCAATTATTAAAAGGAAAATTTGAAGCAACAGTCCCTATTTTTTTTAATTGTTGCGGACTTTACCTTAATTTTCATTTTGTGCCAACGAATGTCTCTAACCTTTTACCAAATGTATAGTTGGAGTCCAAATGAATGGTTGAACTTGACCGTTAGTTGAGAAAAAAGTGGACTTTGACCAATTTTGACAAAATTGAAAGACGTAAAATAATATTTTACATTTTCTCCATATTAAATAAGTTAAAAATTAAATTAAAAACCCCAAAAATAAAAATAAATAATAAACCCACCCCACCCCACACCACAATATAAATCGACAAGGTCTCTTCTTCTTCGACAAGACCTTACTCGACACCGCCAACCCACGCCCATGCTGCCACCACAACTCCTACTCACCACCACACACTATCAGTGCAGCACCGTCCGTCGCCACCTTCCAGTTTACTGCACATTTGAAAATCAAACCAAGAAAAATCATTGATTTCATCTCTATCAAAAACCTAGAAATCAAATCCCACCCTACCCAAATCAAAACCAGAATTGGATTTCTCCCGAGTAAGTTTGTGAATGGGAATTTTGAAGCAGTGCGAGATCGGGATTTGAAATCCTAAAAGCTGCATTGATTGTTTGTCGCCTATTTGTTGAAATATTATCATTAGATTAGAAGTTTGGATTGTGGAAGTCAACCGGTGATACTCCACAATGGTGGGTGTGATCGAAGGAAGAGTTGTCGACAGTTTTTGAGTTCTCAAGTTGAGGATTTTTGGTGGTTATTCCCGTGACATATGGTGGAGTTGGGGTTTGTGGTTGGGTGGGATGTGTAAAGGGGAATGATGGCTTTTCGGTGATGTGTGGGTTCGATGGTTTGGGCGGTGTTTGGGAAGAATATAACTGATGGTGGTAACCGACTTTCAGTTGTGTGGGTTAAGCTGGGGGGAAGAAGAAACTATTTTTTATTTCTTTGATTTTATTTATTTATTTAATATGGTAATTTTAAACTTACCATTTTACCCCTTCCAATTTAGTCAAAATTGATCAAATTTCAATTTTCTTGATCAACTAACGGTCAAGTAGATATTTTCCATTCATTTTGACTTCATATGCATATTTATGAAAGGTTGAGACATTCGTTGGCACAAAATAAGAATTAAGATAAAATTTGCAAAAATTGAAAATGTTATGACCGTTGCTGCAACTTTCCCTATTAAAAAAGGCTAGTTTTATATCGTCAGGACATCAAATGTAATAGATTTAAGATTAAGATATGAACAAAACCTTTTAATAAGTATCATTAGGTATGGTAATTTTCAATATGTTATAGACACGTGTAGGCACATCAAGGAAAGCTAAAAACCACACATATCTCAAATGATAAGAGGCGGCAAGATGTGTGCCAATTGCAATTGATTGATTGCTACCTTCTAAAATAGACTTGTCCCTACCATTTTGCTTTTATATATATGTATTTTTTGGCGTAGGCTTTCGTCTCAGACTTAGGTCGTGACTTACACCCATCACATACTTGTGATTTAATGTTAGGGTTCGTTTAATTGCAATAGTAAAAAATTGGTGGAAAGAAAATAAATTTTAGGGAAAGTAATTGTCTAAAAACTGTTTTGCAGATGATTGTTAATTTAGTGTGTTTGATTGATATAATTTTTCACCCAAAAAATTTTTAAATTTTGTGTTCGTTTGACTTTGTTTTACGTGAAAATTGTCCATTAAAGTGATAATTTTTTCCACAATTTGTTAAAAGTTTTCCCTAGAAAATTGGAATAATGCTACTTTGTCAAAAAAATGTGACATAATAGTTGACAAAATAAGTGTTAGCAAGATGTGATTGATTGAAAAAGTTGACTGTGTTTTAAATAGTCCAATAATAAGTTGACATGTGGTATTATGTCAATGATTATATCAATCATTATGTTCATGTAACATTTCCCAATTGACCAAGAAAATGGAATTCCTTTTTCAAGTTCTAGGGAAAATAACACCAATCAAACATGACCTTAATGATTTAGGTTGGTACAGTTAATTTCGAGAGATTATTTTCTTTTATACATGATGAGTTACACGCTTATTGAGATTAAATTTACTTAATATTTGATTATTTGAACATATTTTAATTCATAGTAAGCTTATGATTTAAAGATCCAAGTAAAAGGAAGGAAAGATCGGACGTTGCAAAACGAAGAACCTATGTACATAGTATGTGCGGAAATTAGTGCACACAATTTTGTACAAAAATCTACACAGGAAAAATGATTTACAATTAAAAAGATACTTGAATTTGAAGTTCAACCAAAAAAGAAATCACCATTTAGAGTTGTGGATCAAAATTTATGGTCTTTCAAAGCTCATTGTCACGGTACAAGAACTTTAGCTTGTCCTCGTGCGGCACTTAGTCGATTGTTTTCCCCAAAATCCAACTAAGTCAGCCTTCCCACAAAATGGAAGCTTAGGTAGTTTTTACTAGGAACTCCATATGATTAGGAACATCCTGCTACTGAATGATCCTACTCACAAGTATTTCTTCTACTTCACGGTCGTACGAAGTAATCATGACGGGCGGCGCACTGTGTGACTCTCCTCGACTTGGGTCATCCTTGTCCCAATGATAAGGCTTTAGCACGCTTACGTGGAAGACGAGATGAACCTTCAGTTGTGAAAGTAATTCCACTTGATATGAGACATTTCCAACCTTCTGACGATTGGAAAGGGACCTTCGTAGCGTCGCACTGGCCCTTTGTGCACTTGACGATAGGCTTTGAATTGTTGGGGGGCATCGAACTCCAAATGCCTTCTTCTCATATCAGGCCACTTTTTCATTTTCTTCGAGGCCTTATCCAAGTAAACCCTTACCATGTCGAGTTGCTCATGCCAACCCTTTGCCCATTTATATGCCGAAGGACTTGAACCTGTATATCCTGCTGCTATGGCATGAGGCGTTAGGGGTTGTTGACCCATCACTATCTCGAAGGGACTTTACTGCATTGCTTCACTACGCTGTAGGTTATAGGAAAACTGTGCCACATCCAACAACTTTGCCCGATCTCGCTGATTGGCGCTCACAAAGTGTCGCAGATATAACTCCAATAATGTATTGATCCTTTTCGTCTGTCCTCCGTTTGCGGATGGAATGATGTAGAGAAGTGGAGGTCTGATCCTATCATCTTAAACAACTCTTTCCAAAACTTCCCCGTGAAACGTGGGTCTCGATCACTTATAATGCTTCTTGGAAGGCCCCAATACTTTACCACATACTTGAAGAACAAGTGTGCGGCTTTTTCTGCTTTGCAATCTCACGGGGCAGGAATGAATGTTCCCTATATGGATAATCTATCCACCACGACCATGATGGAACCACATCCCTCAGACTTAGGTAGCGCCGAGATGAAGTCCATCGTAACGCTATCCCATGGCCTCTCTGGTGTAGGCAATGGTTTTAGCAATCCTGCGGGCCTTCTTTGCTCCACCTTGTCTTGCTGGCACACAAGACAAGTTTTTACATATGCTTCAATGTCATCCTCCATTCTTGGCCAATAGTATGATTTTTCAATCAATGCCATGGTCCTTTGGATACTCAGATGACCAGCCCACATTGAGTCATGGCACTCCTTCATCAATTCCCCTGCAAGTTTCCCCATCGAGGAATAAAGAGACGATTCCCAATAGTGTATACTAACCCATCTTGCTCCCAAAATCGCCTCGTCTTGCCTTCCTAACATAATTGTAGTAGATTCTTAGCAAAATCATCATCAGCCATGCCTTTTTTGACCCGCTCGAGTAGGTTGCTTTCTACACCAGTGATGGAAGCAAATTCCGCCTTGCGACATAACGCATCCGCAACCACATTAGTCTTGCTCGGCTTATACTCAAGCTTGTAATCAAACTCGGCTAAGAAGTCTTGCCATCTTGCTTGTTTGGAGGTTAGCTTCTTTTGCTTCTGGAAGTAGCTCGTGGCAACATTGTCTGTCTTGATTACAAACCTACTCTCAAGTAAGTAATGCCTCCATACCCGCAAGCAATGAATGATAGCGGTTATCTCTTTGTCATGTATCGGATATCGCTTCTCCATATCATTCAGCTTGCGACTCTCGTAAGCTATGGGGTGCTTTTCTTGCATTAGCACTCCCCCGATGGCGAATTCTGATGCGTCTGTGTGAACTTCGAAGGGCTTAGAGTAGTTAGGCAGTGCTAGTACTGGTTGCAACAGCTTGCTTAAGGTCTTCAAAAGCCTATTGACATTCATCATCCCACGCCCAAGGGACATTCTTCTTAAGCAAGTTAGTCAAGGGTGTCGCCCTTCTAGAGTGCCCTTGGATAAATTTTCGATAATAATTAACTAGACCAAGGAATGATCGCAATCCCGTCACCGTTGTGGGAGGTTCCCATTCAATAATAGCACGTACCTTGGCCATATCCATGTTGATCTTCCCACCAGCAATCTTGTGCGCCAAGAACATCACCTCCTGTAGCGCGAATGAGCATTTCTCCCTCTTCACATATAGCTCATTTTCTCGCAATACTTGGACCACTTTCCTTAAATGTTGGACATGGTCGTCCAAGCTTTCACTGTAGACTACTATGTCATCTAAGTATAGCACCACGAATTTATCCAAGAATGGGTGAAAAATCTTGTTCATAAGGGTGCAGAACGTTGCTGGCGCATTAGTAAGACCGAATGGCATGACTAGGAATTCGAACGAGCCATACCTGGTTACACACGTTGTCCTAGCCTCATCACCTTCGGCAATGCGCACTTGCCAATAGCCCGATCTCAAGTCCAGCTTTGTAAACCACTGTGCCTTGCCCAACCGGTCGAACAAGTCATCCACCAAGGGGATAGGATACTTGTTCTTAATAGTTACTTTGTTCAGCGCCCGATAATCTATACACATTCGAAGGCTCCCATCATGTTTCCATTGAAATAGTACTGGGGCACCATAGGGTGCCTTGGAGGGACGAATGTACCCTGCATCAAGTAGTTCCTTCAATTGCTTTCGCAATTCCTCAAGTTCCGGGGGTGCCATTCGATAAGGTACCATAGCTGGAGGTTTAGCACCTGGTTCCAGCTCTATAGCATGATCCACTTCCCTCCTAGGTGGGAGTCTCTTGGGCAGCTCCATGGGCATAACATCCTCAAATTCTCGCAATAAGTTATGAACTTCAGAACGAATGTCAAGAGAATCAAGGGACTCACCTTCTTCCTTGCACGTCACAAGGAGGTTTGTTATCATCTTTTGACCCCTTTGCTTACTTGCATAGCCGATAGGACTCTAGCGTTCACCGGAATGCACTCTACGGTAACCTTGTGGTCTTTCCACCACTCCTGAATTGTATGCACCCATCATCTGTGAGAGAGAAAGGCAGGACTCTCTACATGAAGACCAGGCCGATCACCATTTTGTAATCCTTCATTGGCACAATGTTCACGTCAATCATGACAATCCAAGTGCCCATTTTCATCGGGACTCCTCGGGCAATGCCAAGTAGTGGCCTTGCTCGTTGGTCCACCGTCTTGATCCAACTGGGTTCCTTGGCGAATTTGAGACCCAATCTTCCCGCTTCATCGCTTGACACCAAGTTTTGATTGGCACCGCTATCTAGTAATGCTTTGATATCTATCCCATTTACTTTGGCATCAATGTAGGTTAAGGTCTTACCTGGTCGAAGTTTGGGCTCGACCTTGGCCTTGGCTACCTCAACCTTAGGCTCTTCTTACGCCTAGGCCTTTACCGAGGAAAGCACACGCAGTGACCCCAGTGCACCTTCACCTTGCTGAGCGATCCCCTCGCATAAGGATATGATGGCATTTAACTTGCTACAGTTCGGGCATTCCCTTACAAAGTGCGGCCCACCACACAGAAAACAATCTCGTCGTGCCTTGGGCTGTTCCTTGTTGCCCTCTCCTTGCCTTTCCTTTCCCTTGAAAGGTTTGGCTGCCTTGTGGGGTTTGTCTCCCCCACCCTTGCCAAAGTTACTCCCCTTCTTTACCTTATCCTTCTTCGAAGACTCTTTTGAAAACTCCACCAAGGATTCGGCGACCGCAATGGCACTAGTAAGATCTTGGACACCTCGCCTTTTAAGCTCTTGTTCTGCCCATCGTTGTAATCCATCAAGAAAGTACAACAAGCGGCTCTTATCGGGCATATCCGGAATTTCCAACATCAACGATGAATACTCTCTAATATAGTCCATGAGAAAACCCGTATGTTTAAGCCCAAGTAATTTCTTTATAGCCACTTCTTCCGCATTTTCGGGGTAGAACTGTTTCTTTAGTTCTCCTTTGAATGCATCCCAAGTGTTTATTTCTACCAGTCCTCTCTCCATCTCGGCATGCCTTCGTCTCCACCATAGGGTGGCATCATGCTCAAGATATAAGGTAGATGTACTTACCTTGGTAGCGTCATCTGTTATGTGCATGGTATCCAAATATCTTTCAATTGCCCAAATGAAGTTATCCAACTCTTTAGCATCTCGTTTACCACCGAATTTTGGTGGTTCAGGTATTTTAACCTTTGGGGTAGCACTCGTCGATGCTCCCGCGGCTAGGGCAGCCTTACATAACGTGAGGTCTCCCTTTACCTTACAAAGTTCCTCCTTTAGGGACTTAATTTCCCCACTAATGGTGCTACGAAATTCTTCCATAGATTTATTCACACTATCAATGAAAGAATTGAGCGCCTTGTCTTCATCTCTTTGTCCCTACTCTCTTGTTCATCTTCCCGCGAGTCAGGAGTGTCAAGGATTTCTCCCATGGCCAACTTCACCTTAGCCAGCCTTGTATTGAAGGCCTCAACTATGTCCACAGAGACACTTGTCTCATCCCTGGTCTCCTTGGACTTTGCCCTCCTCTTTGGCTGAACTCGGGTCTCCTCACGCCCTCGTTCCTCTTGTACTTCGGTGACGTTGCCAACTTCCACTTCGCTCCCAAACATGGTTACTTACACCCCTTGTAATGTAACCTAGGCGTTGATCCCTCGTGTCACGGTACAAAAACTTTAGCTTGTCCTCGTGCGGCACTTAGTCGATTGTTTTCCCCAAAATCCAACTAAGTCGACCATCCCACAAAATGGAAGCTTAGGTAGGCACACTTTCTCCCAATGCACAAGAGTTTTGGAATGCTCAAATAGAGGTTTTTATTATGTACAAATGATATGTACAAGTAAGAGTAAAAAGGAGCACAATAAAGCACTAGAGCTTTTTTCGAGCACTGGAGCACTTTTTCTATGTATATATATTACACGTCCTACGTGGGTATTTATAGGCATCCGACCTCCTTAATATGTGGTGGAGATTCTAGAATTCTCTATACAATTCTCAAGCATACAACTATGTCTAGGATGTTTTAAAATCTTCTCATGCCTTAGGTACGTTCTCTAGGTAGTTCTAGAATGTTGGGGAGATTTCTTACCCATTTGAAATTGCTAGATATTTCCTTAAATTACCGGAAAGTTCCAACCCTCTCCGCAAGCTTCTAGAAACTTCCGCATAGGCAATTTTAGCTTTTTCCCTTTCTATTGGCTTTCTTAGCCAATTTTTCACGTCCAACTCTTGTATGCTCACATTGTGGACTAAACCAACGGACCAAAAGCATATGAAAATTCCAAAGGTCGTAGCAAGCATAGCTGCGACTGGCGACTGCAGCTGATGAATTTTCGGCCAAACTACAGGCCTATTTGTCGCAGTCAACAACAGTCCATAGCAGCCTACTGCAGTCGAGTGACTCGAGTCCGACTAGTACAAGGAACGTTTGTTCTCTTTCCGAATCCAATGGTAAATTGGCCAATTCATGTTCATGACTTTCATGGAACTTGAAGCACTATATAAAGATCAAGTGTAGGTCAAATAACGGGGATTCCATGCCACTCAATAGAAAACTATAGAGATAATTCAACACCCTTTTTTGGTTATTAAAGAACCCTCCAAAATTACAAAGATTTTAGGAGGCTTTAGATGATTTTGAAGAAGGGTCATCACATTATGCCCTTTGAACTGAAAATCCAAGAATGAAGTCCTTGATTTCATCACTTGCTGCCTTTTCAAGGGCACTCCGACCTTCTGAATCTTTGACAGTGTAATCAGCTCCAGCTCTTAGCAGTTCTTCAATCTTCGGCTTGTCACCCTCTGAGGCTGCCATCATCAGCAAGATGTCGACTGGGTGGATGTTTTGGTTCAAAAGAGCCTCCATCTTATCATATGTACCTTCCACAGCTAGCATTCCCATGTAATTGAAGTACTGCTCAAAACAGATACTATTATCGTCAAACTTCTTCCAGTCCATTAACTACTCATCACATAAATGACTATTTCCAGATTCACTGAATAGTTAAAACTAGCATAATGATCAAAATTTAAACAAGAAGCAAAACTTCGATTTACTTAACAATTTTCTGCCATTTCAGCTGCCATGGGGCAAGAAGACACTCAAGAAGACACTTTTCATATGGCAAATTATACTGTCATGTTATGCATAGATTTTTAACTGCGCCCCTTTATCAACTGAAAGCCCACGGTACAATTTCTATCACGACTTCTTATCTAAGCAAATCAAGCTACAGTTATAGATCGAACTTCCTCAACAAGCTATTAAACGTCTAAAACCAGCACCTGCCTATCTTTCTACCAAAACTATTTCCAGCTTCTTTACTCCGTCAGCAGGCTAATCATAATTACTTTCCTCATGCAAGCAAACTTTCACCATCTCTTTTATAATTCTGTTCTATATTTCTATATTATCTGTTTCAAGCTGCTATACAAACACCAGTACAGACTACTGATACTAATGACTAATCCACTTCATATATTTAATGGGCAATTTGATAGAATCCATAGTATCATAAAATTTCGCAGAGATTTTTCAGAAGCACTTATGTTACATACAACCTCAAGAACTTGACAAAAGCAATCTTGATATTACTTTACAAGAAAATGCGACTCAAATCTAATATTTTAGCACTGACTCTGCTCAAAGTATCAACCTGTCATAAACAGGGTAAATAGAAAATTACCCCTTTTGGTTTCAAATTCTTAATATCACCCTGTGGCTGTGATCAGTCTTCTAACCGCCTATTTTTATTTAAATCAAGATCTTGTTAATTACCCCCTAGCTCTAACCTGACCAAATGGTGTTAAATCTTTCTAATACCTCTAGCCGTTGTCTTCATAGTTCTTACAATGTAATAAGGAAATAAAAGTTACTTTCACACCCCAAAAAGTATCCAGGTGCGGTAGGTGAGCCAAATTACAAGGGACAAGCAATAGAAACTCAAAACCTTACAGGATGCATCTCAATTTCCCTGTAGAATATAAACAGGAAACACTAATGGGATACAGTAAAAGCATAGAAACAAATTTTGGGGGCAAGCACATCAAAATGGCTTCAGTGGTTGAACGAAAAATTCAGCTAAAGAAAGAATCTTTTCAATTTAAGCTCTAGGAAAACTCTACCTGAGCTAAAAAATATAGCTCACATCCTACATACATTAACATTACCAAAAACAAATTAATAGAACTATTACAAATTCCTAGAATAGAATGGGATAAGTGATACCTGTTCAACATCGTCACGGTCAAAATCATCACGGGTCTGGCTACCGTAAATTCCAGCACCTTCAGCATCAACGCCATTTTTGCCAAACTTGAACCAGCACGTGGTTCTTGAACCAGAGCTTGGACCAAGTCTTGTCATGGGTCTGCACCATCCTAGAGTTTTCGTTCTTGGGCTACCCAGAAACTTAGAATTGAGCTTGGAGAAATATGCAGTAGACCAAGTTGAAGAAGAATTAGTGGGTCTTGATAAGAAGCAACTTAGCTGGAGAGTACTCGAAATTGTGGCCATTTTTCAGTTTCAGACACCCCCGAACCAAGTAGCAGCCTTATCATTGGCACCAACGTACAATTTCTAAATTTATATATTTAGAGATAGGATTTGGACAACAAATCAGAGTGGCGCAGCGGAAGCGTGGTGGGCCCATAACCCACAGGTCCCAGGATCGAAACCTGGCTCTGATAAGAGAGCAAGCTTCTCTTCCCACTCAATTTTTTTGTTGATCAGATTTTTATTTCTTCAATCAAATAAAGCATTTTCATGAGAGAATAAAAAATGTGTTTATTAATTCATATAATTAGTTAGAAAAAAAAAATCTTTGATGAACCAAAAAGTTTAAGATATTTTTAAATAAAACAATGGATTATTACGCCTTTTCAAATTGTATAAAAAATATTTACTAATTTTTAGTTTTATTAAAAAATGAGTATGGTTATTGTAAATCCAATTAATTTAGAGAAAATTCTTATTGTTTTATATAATTTTCTAAGATGATTTCTAGTGCAAAATGGCAAAGTGTGATTTTATTTAATCTCTTTTTGGACCACATTAAAATTATAATTCATTTTTTCTTTTCGTTCTTATCAACCACACATTCTCTCCAATAAAATAATATTACATGTAGTCTCCAAAAAATTTCTTATTTTTTAACCACACATTTTTCAAAAAAAAGCATTATTCAAACCATTAAAATTTTAAATAACGAAGGCCAAAAGGGGGCTTAGTTTAATCATCGTAAAAAGACTCGTAATATTATATTAAAAAAAAAACGATATACCAAAAACTATAGCATTGGAGGCTGGACCCTACCGGTTTGACACCTCTATATTCACCGCCATTTACAGCTGGTGCGAAAAGGGAAAACTCAGAATTTGATTCTTGTAGTACCTTCGAATTATTTACCTCATGCTCATTCTATATTTTTTTCCATGATTGATGCTAAGGCACAATGCAAAAAATTTGTGCAACTTCAACATTTAGGTTTTAACTGATTTACAATGAATAGACAAGTCCCGGAATAGTGCAGGAAAGAAACTTCAATTGCTGAATGCAGATGAATTCAGTGACCACATAATCACACAATGCTGCCTATTCTCCATTTCAGATAAAGGATTTAAGTTAAAAAAATTCACACAAAAGCTTAAGGGATAGGATCAAATCATGATCCCAATTACTACAAGGGAATCCCCTACCAATAGAATATCCAAAACCACCTCTTGAACCACAACCCTCAACTTACACTCCTACCCTATAAAAGATAGTGCACAAATTCAATGGAGTAGGCTCGATGATTCTCGAGCAAATGGCTTGAAAAATTAACTTGATGATATTGGCATTGTTTGATCTCCATAATACAAGAAATGGGGTACCTTAGCAGGCTAGAATTAGGCTGTCAAAGTAGCTTTCCACACAACCTGGCTTATACAGGTGACTTAGCCAAACTAAAGCTTGAATTGCTGGTCATGGTTAAGAACCGAGCACATGTTATATGGTGGAGGTTGCAGTAAGCAATCGGACCGATCACATTTTCTGGGTTCACTAAAAGAATCTGAAGGCTGATCTTGAAAGGTTGCATTATTAGACAGCGCTCTCAGATAATTTCGAGAAACCAAGCTTCTTTAAACGATTACGTATAGGGTTTGCCCACTTACTGTCCGGATTCCCACATGTTATGTCCACGACTTCAACCATGCCAGGTGCCTTTTTGACAGGTTTTTGCCTTATAGGAGTTCCATCCATGGGTGCATTATCAGCTTTAAGCATAGGAATTAGATGAGTTCCAGTGTGCCTTTTCCTTGTAACTTCAGGGGCTTCATGATTTTGGTCGCTGCTACTTGCTTCACCCACTGACATTCTGGATTTCAGCCTTCTCAGAGTGCTGTCACCTGACTGCACTGAGGAAGAAACTGGAGAAGAATCATTTCCAAACGACACTGGAATCTGAGATGCAAATTTCCCGGATTCTAATTCCCGAGACATGAGGGCACTGATTTTTCCAGTGGTTCCTACTTTAATGGATCCTCCACCACCTTTGATAGCTTCTAATGTCTGAACCATAGCTTTTCCCATCTACATGTAAAGATCAAAATAATCCTTTTAAGTTTTAACAGGTGAACTTGTATAATTTTTAAAGCTAATTCAAATGTGGGATCAAATCAGTTAAGGAAGTGTAAGCACGCATGCAAATGTAGCAAATCTATGTTTATACATATCAAAACTTTTGCATTCTTGTTTCCAAATTTCAAGGGCAACAAACGCTCTCAATGGACCTCCAATCTATAAGCATTTTTGGGAAGTGTTTATAAATTGTTTAAATTATAAATAGATAAAAATGATTTGTAAATAAGTAGATAGTAATTGTGGATCTCTCGAAATGTGTGGATAAAAAGTGGCCTGAGTATTTATAGACAACTTATAAATATGAGCCAAACATAGGCTAAGATAAAGCAAAAAATAAATTAATTTGTTCACCAAACAGCACATAAAGCTCACTATAACAATTATAGATAAAGCATTCTAGCTACAGTAACAGAAGTTTGTAGTATTTATGATGTAAATCATTGGAACATAAAGCAGAGGATATAACCATATTAAGAACAAAAATGCACCTATTTGACATCGCTGGATCACTAAAAGATATACAAGAGTGATTCTAGTGCTCCATCATTTCAAATTCAACGTAATGTAACCAACTTCTTCATCAAATGTATAAATTAGTGACTTTTTAAATCTCAAAGTATTATATAAACTCGTGATTTACCAGTTACTTATGCCATCTTGAAAAATCATACGACTTTTTGTACTATTTAGAAAAGGACCAAGCAAAGTTGAACTTTGATCATATATTCATAAGCCTGTGTTAGACTCTGCTTTATAAATCAACTATTAGGCTCCAGTCGTTATACAGCTCAGTGTACAATAAAAGTTATTGCTGTGAACACAAGCTAAAGCAGTGAATCAAGGGCGACAACACGTGTATAAAAGAAGATAATTGACTCCTAAACCCACGAATCAGAGAACCCAAAAGGCTGGACTATTGGGAGCTGCTAAGTTATTGGCTCCTAAACCGGCAATCAAATTCACAAACTCGCACCTTGAAAATTGAACACTTTCATCTTAAAAACTATGTCCTAACTTAGGCATCACCACACCACGTCACCACCATCTAGGAAACCACCCCTGACTAACACAGCTTTCATTTAGAGCAGACTCTCAGCAAATAGTTCATCTCAAGGTCATTTACAGGTTTAACTAGCACCACTACTTATTTACAGCAGCAACAAAGAATGCAGACAGAATCTTGGGCATAAAATTAACAAGAATTTAACTATAAGAAAATAGTACAATAGTTGAATAGAAGAAAGATCAAAATCCACTAACAATAATCATACAGAAATATAACAATAATCAATAGTAAAAAACCATCGGTTGACCCAAAAAATTAAATCCCACCAATAAAATTAAGGACAGTAGAAGATTACCAAAAAAATCAAGCCTGAATCTTCAAAGAGAAAATTCTGTGGAAAGGGTCAGGAAGAGAGGGTTTAGATTATACGAAGCCCAAAAAGTATGAATAAGATTGAAGTCTTCAAAACCTGAATATTCAAAGAGAAATAAATTACATTACTATCTTCACATCGCTTTCAATAAATCTACTCCAAGATTAATTAATTGTTTACCTGTGTTTATCTAGCTCACAAATCACAATGGAGCTCTGGCAAGATCTGAATATATTATCTTATATTTTCTGGGATGGATGAAGCAACCCCTTCCTGGCCCACTTCGCATATTTTACTCCTTTTGGTTTGAAAGTTCTTTTCATTTTAATTCAAAAATTTCTACTGTGTACTACTTGTGACCACTCGGGACTAGATTGGTGGGAGCGAATTATTTCAAAATCATTGAACTTATACTATCGTCATGGACTGCTCATCGAATTTCATTCTACTTCACAGTACTCATTCGACTTTGTCATTTACCTCTCCATCCATCACTGTCAAAAAATTCGTTTGTTGGGCGCTAACGTGACGAACGGAATTCCTACGTGGCGTCTGACGGCCGTTAAAAAATTACAAATCAGCAAAATCATTGTTTCATCTCTCATCCAACTTACATTGTGTCACAGTTTACTCACCGAACTTCAAAATGCTTCCCAGTGGTCACTCATCTTTGAGATATTGCACTTCATCCATTATCCGTCATATTTCGTTCACTTCGTTGCTAATGTTCGTATAGAAAATTCACATAATAAGTTACATCAATTTACTAAAATCACCATGTGTGAAACATGACTTCCACGGCCTCATAAACTTTTTTAAAACTCAATAAAGCGTCATCAATTATTCTTTATAAATATCATTTTTATAATTTGAACGTTTATTATATGAAAAATAGGTTTCAATCTAAAGCTGAAAATCGAAAAGTTAACTTGATTTGTGAAAATATTTTGTCTATATTTCACCCATTTTACTTTTAATTGTATCCAATTGATCATGTGGTGATTTCCATGTGTTGATGGTTTGGTTGAGTTATAATTTTTTTGATGATTTCGATTACCCATGAAATTTTCAAACAATAAATTAGCAACGAAGTGAATAAAATATGACGAATAATTGATGTAGTGCAATTCTTAAAGATGAGTGACCACT